CTCATCTGCTGCCCTCATTCCCCACCCCCATCCAAAAAACAAGTAAAACAAAAAACTGATCTTACTTGAGGAATTAGGTAGGTAAGGGATGATCACATTGGAGTTTGGAATTAAAAACACCAAAAAAAAAAAAAAAGGCTTTTTGGTTCTCTACACTGGCTAAGAATATTGCTCTACACTGTAAGTTTTAAATGTCATGTTTCTGTATGAATGTAGTGTGGATTTGAGTAGCATTGTGTGCGAGTGGCCCCACAGGTACATTGACCTTCTAGACACCTCCTTTCGCAGCCCCTCAGTTTGATGAAGAAAGTAAGAAAAACACAAAGCCTTAAGCTCTTTGAATTCTTCCTTTACCAAATGAGCATGGTTCTAACAGCTGAAGATGGGCGAACATCGGTAACAGCCCCTCTCGCCCCTTGCCCATTCTTCACTCATACCCACTCCATGCTCAACACATCTAATTCCCAAGAGATAATTAGTTGGCTAGAAATTTAAACTTTTCTGTAACTTGACATTTAGATTATGTTTTGTTGTGAATTTTTTTGCATCCTCCTGTTAAAGATGCATAGTTGGGCTCTGCCTTTTTTTTTTCTTAACCAAATAAGCCCTTTTTCCTCTCTTCTCTGGGGAATGTGAGCTGATGGTCTTATTTAAAATTTGGGGTTTTGTTTACTATCCACTGTTCTTTAGCCAGAATTCTCTAGTGATCTGAATCAATGTGACTGAAGACCAGTTTTTAAATTATGTGTTGGCAAGTAGCCTTATATTTAAAAATAGGAAAAAAAAAAAAAAAGCCTGATTGTGTTATGCCAAATGATAGCAACATGAAGTCCTAATTTATTGTTCCTGATTGTTTTCCTGACGTCTGTGAACACTGGTACCTCCCTGTCCCTGAGCCCCCAGGAGCACCTGTTGCTTCTGGTGCAATGCCTTCTCCCAAGGTGTTGGCCACCATCTCACCCAAGGCCCCCTTCCAGTTCTTCCTTCTCTGAGTTAAATTGAAAGAGCACTACTGTCTCTCCTTAACCCTTGCTTGAGCTCCAAACCAGATATTTTTGCTGTGATTTTTTTTTCTAATGCCTCTCCCCAAAAGGTGAGCTGCCATTTTAGGAAATTGGACCAGACACCAACTTGGGGGCTTTATATCAAACCTCAAACCCATCTCTTCCTGTGTGGGGGTGCAAATCTCTGAAGCTCTCACTCCCACCCCTAATCTGCATGGAAAATGTACTGTGACCCCACCTTCGCCCCCAACTGCCCTTGCCTTTGGTGTGAGATGTTTCCTAGTTCACCCTGAGCTCCTCACCCCTCTGCCAGCCAACCCCCAGCCAGCAATAAGAGGCCAAACCAGGGCCTCCTATCTATAATCCCTGCCTCCATCCCACACTGCCCCTAGGGAACACTCGGTTTCCCTGAGCTGTCCACATACTGTAGCATTCACTCTCCATCTCTCATCTTCTCACCTGTGGTGGTTTATGGGTGTGATGGGGTTTTTAAGATTATTATAAACCAGTAAAAAGAAAAAAGTCACCTTTCAATCTTGTCCTATTTGTTTATAGTGGTTTCTAACGTCTCATTTACTAAAAGGGAAGTAATTTCTCATTTTTAAGAGGGGAACCCCCATTCATCCCATTCAGAAGCGCCCCCACCCCCCCCAATCCATTATTGCAGACCAGGTATTGGGATTGTAAGGAATGAAATTTGGTCAATCCCCAGGAGGTACCCAGGACCTCTCCCTAGGCAGGACTGCTAGGGCCTTGGTGGGTTAGTATGTCTTCCATGGAGGTCTGAAGTGTACTGCCACTTTCACTCCAAGGATCCTAAGTCACTGAAAAATGGGTAATTTGCTAATAAGCTATTTAAACGTCCCTCCCTCCACTTCTCCCACCTCCAACAGGCATTCTGAGGGCCTCTGACAGACGTGGAGGTAGTAAGTGCTATAATCTGTAAAATGAAAAGTAACTCTTGGTGAATCTTAGGGGTCTAGTATTGAAGAACTTTCCCCTTTTTTGTCTGCAGAGGGGAAAAAAATCTAAGAGAGCTACTTACAGCCCTAGTTGGTTTGGCTCAATGGATAGAGGGTCAGCCTGTGGACTAAAGGGTTCCGGGTTCAGTTCCGGTCAAGGGTACATGCCTGGGTTGTGGGCTTGATCCCCAGTAGGGAGCGTGCAGGGGCAGCTGATCAATGATTCTCTCTCATCATTGATGTTTCTATCTCCCTCTCCCTCTCTGAAATCAATAATATATAGATAGATAGATAGATAGATATAGATATGTGAAAACAAAAGAGCTACTCACAGTTGAACAATGGGGGTAGAGAAGTTAGAGGTGCCTCTAACTATCCCCATTCCTGCATAATCTAAAATGACTCTAGCCCTAGCCAGTTTGGTTCAGTGGATAGAGCGTCAGCCTGCAGACTAAAGGGTCCCAGGTTCAATTCCAGTCAAGGGCACATGCCTGGGTTGCAGACTTGATCCCCAGTAGAGAGTGTGTAGGAGGCAGCCTATCAGGATTCTCATTGATGCTTTTGTCTCTCCCTCTCTGAAGTCAATATATATATGTGCCTAAGTGACTGGACAACCTGCGGGTAGCTATGATGTGCATTGACCACCAGGGGGCAAAGGCTTAATGCAGGAGCTGCCCCCTGGTGGTCAGTGCACTCCCATAGCCAACCTCCCATGGTCCCTCCCCCAGCTGGCTGGCCCCAATTGGCCCTGGTCACCAGCCAGGCAGAGGGACCCCACCCATGCACAAATTTGTGCACTGGGTCTCTAGTGTTAAATAAAAATAAAATAAAATGACTCCAAAAGCTTTACTAATAACCTGTTGACAGGAAGCCTTACCAGTAACAGCCGATTACACATATTTTGTACGTTACATGTAGTATATGCTCTATTAAAGTAAGCAAGAGGGAAAATGTTTAAAAACAAAGCAATATATTTACAGTATTTATTGGAAAAAAAATCCATGTATAAGTGGACTCGTGCAGTTCAAACTTGTGTTGTTCAAAGGTCAACTAGATTCCCTGGTCCCCCTTTCAGTTGGTTGAACATCATCCTGTGCAATGAAGAAGAGTTACCAGGGCATACCTGAGTTGTGGGTTTGATCCCCAGTTGGGACACATACAGAAGGCAACAAATTGATTTCCCTCTCTCACATTGATGTTTCTTTCCCTAAGTATGTCCTTGGGTGAGGATTAAAAAACAATTAAACAAAAACCTGACCTGAGTTCCACAAGGCAACTGTGACTGCCTGTGACACCACTGGAATGAGGGCTAGGCCTGAGTATGGAGTTGACTGCAATACACTATTGTTGCACACAACTCTAGAGAGCAGGTTCCCTGGAATGGTACAGCGGCCGTCTTCCCTGAAGACTGCCCAAGCTTGATCCATTGTATCTGATTGCTCTTGGAAAGATGGTTCCATCTGTTGCCTGAAGCAAATGCTAAGACATTTCTTCTGCTAGAGCAGCGGTTGCCATCCGGTGGTCTGTGAGGTCCGAAAGGTTGGTGACCGCTGGTTTAAGGAAACGAGCTAGAGCACATGTTGTCCCTACTAGCTTCCAGGAGTCATTGTATCAGGGTGGTTTTATCTGATGAAGAGGCCACCTTTATTAGAAAGGCAGCCAGGGCCTGTCTCTCCCTAGATCAGTGAATTTGACCTTTTGAAGGCTAAGCTGGTGGTTAGTTTCTCAGGCTGAACTACAGCCCTTGAACCTTCCCTCTACTAGATAAGTTTCCATCATTGGGCCTCTTCTCAGGGCCAGCCAAGAGTAAGGCACTTAATGCTGATTGGATCATCTTTACAGTAAATGTAGGTGAGCAGGATTACTCTCATTTTACCAGGAGAGCAAAATGCCTCTCCATATAGCTAAGTAACTTGCCAAAAAGGAAGGCGAGGATCCAAATCTAACTTTTGGCAAAATTATAAGGAATCTATACATCTAGGAATTGCTGGAGCTTGAAACAGAATCCAGGCCCTGCCCCAAACCGGCTCAAGTCAATACACTTTTCTGTTCCTATTTCATCTGTTAATGTGGATAATCATAGGCACCCACCGAGGTGTATATGAAAAGCAAATGAGTATGGATGAGAAAATCCAAGCACTGTGCACCTCAAAGGCCTCTTTGCTCAGCTTAGTCTCTGGATGTGGGCTGGGCTTTGGAGTTAACATTCATCAAGCACTTATTTTGTGCTAGGAACATGCTTTCTCTCTCTCATTAAATCTTCAATACAGCCTACTAAAATAGGTTAGATTATGTTGATAAAAACTATAACTTGATGGTTGTATTAAATAATGCATGTAGTGTCTGCCACATGAAAGTAATCACCACCAGAGGGCAGCAGCAGGCATCTCTTCCACACAAAGCCTGGTGCACTCCCCCTGTCGTCCACCAGAGGGAGACCCGTCAGGGCAGCTGATCCTAGGGGCAAAGGAGCAGCCAGTCTGACTGGTCTTTGCTTTCACAGTTGGGCCCAGCCTTCCAGGGCCCTAATCAACCCAGATGAGTCAGACTGGAACCAAATTAATAAATACAATTCAAGATTTATTAAAAATCAGGGCTCCCCGCTGTGCTCTCCTGGCACTAAGTAAATAAATAACCAGAAGACACAGAGGGAAGAGAAATCAGATCCCAAGACAGATTCTTTAACTACCCAACTCTCCCTCCCCCCTATGGCTCTTGGGACATAGCACCAGCAGGCACCTCAGTCCAGGTAGAATGTGGCCGGCACCAAGGCACGTCTGCCCTGCCCAGGAGAGGAGACAAGCCCTAGGATCACTTGTTTCCAAGCCCTTGATGACCCCAAGACCTGCTCGGCCAGGGCTGAAGCACCAATAGGAGGCACCTGAGGGTGGTAAGGAAGGGGGGAGGGGAAATAGGGTAACAGAACCGAGGCTGCAAAGCAGCTGAAAGGGGGTCCTGCCCCCTCTCCAGGTTCAGCCAGTGCCTGACAGAGGCCATATTCCACCCCCCCTTTGTCCTGGAGCCCTGCCTGTGCTCAGCTGAGGATCTTCCGTGGCAATTCAACTGAGGCACGGATGAAGACTGCATCATCCCGCACATAGTTTCGCTTGCGGATATCCTGGTGGGAGATGAATTTGGGGTAACCAAAACCCAAAGAACTCTCATCCAGGGAGCCCCGCCAAGTGCCTGGTTTTTGGAAATTCTTCCAGTTTGGGTCAGGGTGAAAGGTCTCAGTGACATGCTGCGGCTTAGCCAGCCCAGGGTCGCTCTGATCCAGCAGGGAGAAGGTGACGCGGCGGGCAAAGGGCCACTCAAGGAGATTGTCAAAGGCACCTGGCAACACGCGAATGTACAGCGAGAGATGTGTGCCTTCACCACTGCCATTGCCATTGAGGAATGCAGACACCTGCAGCTTGTAGCCATACTTATGTGTGTAGAAGGCTGGGCTGAAGCACTCAAGGTTGGGCTTGGCTTTGGCCTCCTGTAGCCGGCGCCCATAGCTGCCAATCTTCCAGATGAGCACACCATCACTGCCCACCGACAGCTCCTCCAGCTCTCGCCGCAGCTCCTGAAGCTCCTGCCGCTGACGGCTCACCAGGGCACACATCATGGCCAGATGGGGCTTCACACTCTCCTCCACATGCCGCGCCATTGCCAGCTTAGGGCACTGTTGGCATGGGGGAAGGAAGGAGAGTTATCAGTACGGGCAGGCCCAGGGTAGACGGGAGGAATGGGTACAGGGTGGCAGGCACTCCGTTCTGATTAAGGTTGAGGGCACTAGGAGGAGGAAGCTGGCCAGCAGGGGGAGGACTGAAAGCTTCAGAGCAGCAGAGCAGGGACTGCCAAGGGGCTCAGGCCCTAGTCTATGCCAGGCTTCAAAGATCAAGAAGGGGATTGACAGGAAGGAGGGGCGTCTCACCCTGTGCTTGCAGCCGGAGTCTTTGAATGGACACAGCACCAGGGCAGTGCTACAGCTGTCCTTCAGGTGGCCTGGCAGGTCCTCCCGAGCCACAGTGCCCACGCCACACTGGTTGGGGCAGGGCACAGGCAACCTCGGGCACTGGTACTGGTGGCTCTAGGGTGGCAGAGACAGTGGTCAGTAGCCTGACTCCCTGCTACCTGCCCCACAGCCCAGTTCAGGAAGGGCCTCACCTGGATGGTGTCAAAGACGAACTCCTTGGTACAGTAGGTGCAAGGCTGGGTGCGCTTGGGGCACTCAGAGGTGGCATGCTGGGCCAGCAGCCGCCGCATCATGCGGGCACCACACTTGTTCTCACAGTACACACTCTCTTGGGGACACACGCCCTCGTGGCTCTGTGGAAATGTCAGAGGGGCTGAGTTAAGGGATCCACGGGCTACCAGGTGCCCCACTCCCTCTCTACCCTCAGCCAGGCCCCACCCACCTCAAAGGCCTCTCCACTGAAGTCACAGCCACAAAACTCGCACTTGAGGCGCCGCTTAGGGCAGTCGTGTTGCAAGTGTGCAGGCAGATCTCGGCGGCTCAGCTTGGTGGGGCAGCGATTGGGGCAGGGGACTACATTGAAGCTGCAGGTATTCAGGTGACCCTGGCAGGAAGAGCTGTGGTTAGTGCCTGCCAAGAGAGGGGCAGTCCCCACCCCATCAGAGCCTCACCTGTAGGTGACGAAGTGGCCCACTCCAGCGGCAGCCCTCCTCACTGTGGATGCAGCGGATAGGCAGGCCCAATACCTGTACCTCCAGCTCTGGGTCCGGGTAGATCTGGGGGCGGGAATGGGGGAAACAGGTCAGGGTCAGAGCCTGCTACAGTCCCCACTTCCTGCCTCCTCCACCCCCAGATAGGCTAGCTCTACCTTAGAACCAGCCAGTCTCTCCTGGGCTTTATTCCCCTCTGTGCCCAGCGATAAGGGTACTAGCGTATCTGCTCTATTGCTGGATCCGAGTCCCCAATATGCCTGCACATGACCATCAGCCTGCTTAGCTGCAAGCAGCTCTCAAACCCCCTGCCTCCTTCCCTCTGGTGGAGGGGTCCTGGCCCTCAGCCACAGGTCTGGCCAGCCATCCAGAGGGGAGGGGAGCACTTCTTGTGGCACAGAGCAGCTCTGTGTACCCCCACAAGCTGGGCATTGTGCCTGCCCTCCGGGGCAAATACAGGCCTCATTTGCAAACTGGCCTGGTGGGAGGGAACAGGCCACCTTTGTGGGGGCACATGATTCGGAAGTACTAGGTTGACACTGGCCCTGAGCCTACTGGCTGCCAACCTCCACCAAGGGCAAGAGCCTCTGCCTGGCTCTGTGGACCCACCTTGGCATAGTCCAGAGGAAGCTGGTCCTCAGGGCATTTGAAGACTCCTTCACTGAAAGGAGAGGAGACAGGGTCAAGACTCCACACTATAGCCCCGTGTGGCTCCGTAGTTGAGCGTCGACCATGAACCAGTTCGATTCCCCCAGGGTACATGCCAGGGTTGCAGGCTGGATCCCCAGTACGGGGCATGCAGTAGGCAGCCAATCAATGATTCTCTCTCATGGATGTTTCTACCTCTCTATTCTTCTCCCTTCCTCTCTCTAAAATCAATAAAACATATTTAAAAAAAAGAAAAAAAAAGAATTGTGTGTTTAAAAAAAAAGACTCCATGCTATGGGAAGGGAGAACCCCAGGCCTCACCCCCTTAACGAGGGCAGCCTCTTGCCCTCACCAGACCGGTTCTGAGGCAGCCCCACCTGAGGGGAAGCAGAGTCCTGAGGGTACCGGCTTCCCCAGGACCCCAGAAAATCCCAGCTCTTGTCCTGGGAAGGAGAGTCTGGCCCAGTGGAGGCGGAGACAGCTGCCTCAGACAGCATTTGGCCAACAGGTGGCAGCTGGCACCCCTCCCCCAGGATGGCAGCTGGACTGGGAAAGAACAGGCTGCCCAGCCATCCCCTCCCCCCAGGTTAGTTTTCACTGGCTGGGCTGAAAGCTGACTGGGTGGGGGGGGTGGGGGGGGCGTGGAGCAAGGTGAACAGGGATAGGCGGAGATTAAGTGCCAAAGCTTCCCAACCCATATGAGGGTGCCCAGCCAAGAACCATGGGCAAAGGTCAGCTTGGGGCCACTTTACCCCATCCCTTCCCTCCCTTTAACGAGGGTGTGTCTCCTAAAGCAAAGAGGAGGAAAGGCTCCCTCCAAGGCACTGTGTTTACACTCCCAACCACTCTTCACCACTGGTCTCTGAGGAGGGGCTGAATATCCCGGTTTGCAGATGAAAGAACAGAAGCTACAGCTGAAGCAGCACCTGGCTCTGTTTGTCTGAGTCCACAGCTCTGACAGGTTCTGTTTTACGGTAGGGCACACAGAAGAGGGGCTAGGACAAGAAAAACTGTCCAGGCAAGCACCGCCAAGACTCTGCTCATGGCACTGCATGCAATCTGAAGCCTGTTGATCCTGCCCGCTGCCCGCCCTCTCCTCCACCCATCCCCAGCAGGCTGCTGGCACTCAAGGAACCTGTTAGCATGCCTCCTTCCGCCAGTAAGACCTTGCTGACCCCAGCCAGGACCAGTTACGCCTGGCATGGCCTAGACAGAGCAAGGGCTCACCCAGCAGGACTGAAGGCCCTCGGGCATGGCATTTCTGGCAGATGTAAGTCATGTGGAGGCAGGCAGGAATCAGAGCGAAGCAGATGCCACATGGCAGCCCTGTCCGTCCGTAATGTACTTTGCAGGACCTGGGAAGTTCATGCCCCAAATGCCCAAAGGATTTCTAGCACCCACCTCCTCTCCCTGACCCCACTACTACCACTGGCCATGCCACCAAGCAAATACATGCCCAGGCACTGATGAGGTATGCCTATGCCCACAGGGCAAGCAGCCTTCCTGGACCAACCTGGCAGGAATGGGGAAAGAGGGGTGGGTCATGGGGGAGGGGGTCTGCTTGGCTGCTTCAGGAATGTGCTGACTTAATGGTTTTGGAGACAGGGAGGGGACTGAGGCAAGTCCCCCGGCTTGGAGCACAAGATTAGCCTGGGCAGCTTGGGGCCCAGCCAGGACAAAGGTTCCGTCCGTGCTATGGACACCCTTGCTTATACGGTATCCTGCGGTGGTGAGAGGCAGAGCCTGTCCAACCACCTCTTCCCTCCTCCCTCCAGGGGCCTCAGCTGCAAGATTCAGGCACCGGGGGAGAGGGGGAGGCAGGGGCAGAGACTGCTCCAGGCTGTGCAGTGGAGGCCCAGGCCCAGGGGAAAAGACAGGATGGGGGGAGGGGGCTGTGGGAGAGGAAGAGGGGATTTCCGGGAGGAGGAGGGGCAGAAGCAGCGGAGGGGCGGTGGAGGAAAAGGGGCCTTGCAGCCCCCTCCTGGATCCTTTCTTGAGGCAGTGTGTGGGGGGGGGGGGTCAGCAGAGGGGGGGGGGGGGGCGCTCAGCTGGCCTCATCTGGAAACCAGAGGGCTGGGGAAGGGCACTGGAGAAGACAATGGGGCTGTGTGTCTAGGGGAGAATGTGTGTACACTGGAGGGAGGAGGGAGGAGGGAGGGGGTGGGGGTGGGGAATAGGAGGAGGGGGCAGCACAGCAGCTTGTGCAGGAGCATATGTGAGGGCAGGAGCCGGCCCAGGCTGTGGGGAACGGAAAACAAAGAGCCTGCTGAGATTTCCGCCAGGCTGGGGGCTGCAGAGGACAGCGGACGGACGGAGGGAGGGAGGGACAGTGCACTGAGGCAGGCGTCCTGGAGATGCTCTCCTTGCCCGCACCCTCGGCAAACAGCCCCCAGGCACATGGCAGTGCCGGACCCGGCCTCCCTGTGATCTTGGACAGGCCTCCCCATACGGGCCTGAGCAGTTCCCGGCGTGGGCAGGAGATTCGAGACCACAGGGCGCCCAGAGCCCATCGGATGCCCAGAGCCAGGTGACCTGGGTCCTCAGAGAACAGGGGGCGTTGGTGACACCCAGGGTGCGACCCCCTCCCTGAGATCACCGGCCGTCCGCGTCCTCCCGACCCCCGGCAGCAGGGCCACCCACAAGGTTCCCGCTGCAGAGATCTGAGCGCCACGGCCCCCTCCCTATTGTGTGACCGCACAGCCAGGGCGAGATCCCAGCTGAGCCTTAAACTGTGACCATGGGCAGGTCGCAGCCTCCCCCGAGGTTCTCCTTCCATCATCTGTGAAATGGGAGAGCAGCTGCCGTCCTTGCCACGTTCGGAAAACCCAGGGGTTCGCCGGACGGGTGGGAACTCCGGAAGTTTAAGGTGCAGCGCGGGAGGGAGGCTCTGTCCTCCTCCTCTCGGGGCTCAAAGTTCAAGGATGAGGCCACAGCGGCCCACAGGTGAGGGGGCAGGGCCGGCCCCGGGTCAGGAACGGCGCCTGGGCCCCGCCACCCGCAGGGAGGTACCGAATCCTTCTGACCGGGCGCGGGGGCCGAGGGCACCGTAACCCTCCGGGTCAGAGCGCGGGGTTCTCCCTCCCGGCCTGACATCATCGCCGCCCCGTGATGTCACGGTGGCCGCCCGTGAGGTCCCCGGGCCACGGCGCAGACAAAGGCCGGCGCGCCTCCGAGCTGAGCCCCTCCGCATGCGGCGCGCCCCCCGCCCGGCCCCCTTCCCGGCCGCACCTGAGGAACTCCTGCAGGCAGGTGTCGCAGAAGCGGTGGCCGCAGGTAGAAACCTGCACGGGCTCTCGCATGGGCTTCCCGCACAGCGGGCACAGCAGCCGCCGCTTGGGCTTCTCCAGGAACTTGTAGTCGAAGCCGGGCATGGCGGGCGGGCACGGGCGAGCGGGGCCGGGCACGCGGCGGCCCCACAGCCCGCGCCACGCTCGGGCCGCGCTCCCGGCTCCGGGCGGCGCCGACTGTTGGCCGCAGCCGGGCCCAGCCCGCCTGCCCGCGGCCGGAAGAGGGGGCGGAGCCGCGCCCGCGTGGTCCTAGCGCCCGTCCCGGCCGCGCTCCGCTCACCCGGGAACGCGTGGCTCTGAGGTCGGCACTTGGCCAGCCTTGCCCCCTCCCCGAAACAGGGGCTCCTCTTTCCGCTGGAGAAGAGAGACTGTGGCTCCGCTTCCCCCAGAGCTGGGGCGCTGAGGATGGGGGAGGGGGGGGCCCTGACGCTGGAAGGGGCGGAGGGACCCGGGGTACGGGCTGGGCCGCGCCACAAAGGTTTGCTTCTCCCGAGGGTACAGCTCAGTCCCGGGGGCCACGTGTCGCCCAGGAGCCCGGGACTGCAGCCTCCAGGTGCCAGGCAGCCGAAGCCTGGCAACCGGCTCTTGGGAGCCTGGCTGGGAGGGGAGGCAGGGCTGGCGCGGGGCCAGAGGAAACTCGGCCCAGTCTTCGGCTGCGCCCACATTCCTTCCTTGACCTGAGCCGGCCCTGCCGCGGAGATCGGGGGGCCCAGCCCAACCCTGGGTGTTGGGCAGCCACTCCCCCTCCTGAAGAGACCACACTCTAGGCAGGCAGGCAGCTGATGTTTTTATTGGCACTGCTTCCAGTCATCTGGAAACTGGTCTGGTCCAGCCAGTTACCTATCCCCCAACCTGTTTCGGAGGAATGGCGGGGGGTGGGGGGGTGAGAGCAGCTCCCCCAGACCTCCCTGCCCCAGGCAATGCACAGGCTAGGCCGCTGGAATGACCACTGGAATGGCCCTCCAAGCAGGCTCCACCTTGACCTGCTCCAAAGCACTGAACTGCTGTCCCACTGGGCACCAGGGATGCATTTTCTAACCAGGCTGGAGGAGGAGCAGGGTCTGGGTGGAGCCACACCCACCTCCAGCCTTTTCCTGTCAAGTCTCTGAAGACCACCCTGCTTCCAAGGGTTAGATCTGGCTTCCAACTCAAGGCAAGCTGGGCCCTGAGGGCATTGACTTAAGAGAAGAAGGGGTGGGAGGGAAGAGAGAAGTGTTAGGGGAATAGGGTGGGTTCAGTTTTACATATCCAGGGCCAAAAGCAGCACAGGGCTTGCTTCATCAGTTCTTACACCCCATTGGACATAATCCGGGGGGCCTGGATGGAGACAGTCATGCTTCAGGCACCTGTGCTTTCCAAGAACATTCAGAGAAGCAATATGGGGTGGTCCAGAGGTGTATCCAGGTACCTCACGGGGGGACTGGCTCATCGGTGACGGCTAGAGAGCACAAGAGAGAAACCTCTGCAGCCTCCCAGAGGACAGAGCCTCCAGCAAGCATCCCCCCACCTCTGCTCCCAGTTCCGCACTGGGCCCTGGATTCTGCCAGACTAGAAGTCGAGGTTCAAACTAACCTGGACGAGGGAGCAGAGGAGAAAGAATGATTTGGGCCCCGGGGAGCAGTGAAGGCAGCCCTTCAATGAGGCCCCAAAGTACCCACCCTTGCCCACCCCAGGCAGGAAACTCGGTTTTATCCCACAGCTTCTGCTTTCATTTATTTGGGGGCTAAAGATGTGTTTCGGTGATTTGGGCTGTGAACACCGGGGAAGGGGGTGTGGGCAGGATCCAGCTGGGTTAACCCTGTGGGGTGAGGTGGAAAAAGTTCTCACTCACGTCGTACAGCCAGGAGAGTGTTTCCATGGCAACAGGACACAGAAGTCACTGTGTAGGGATGTGTCTCATCTAGCTGCACTGGACGAGGGAGTCCAGCATCCTCATCCCTCCTTCCAAGTCGACCTCGGGCCCCTTTGCCCCAAGAGTATACCTCACCTTCTGCCAAAGAGAATCCCAAAGAGGGAGATGGGAAGAGGACACAGCTTAGCCAGCAGAGCAGCTGTCCCCCAGCTTGCCCTACCGGCCCCAGTATGAGGTTGCTGAGTTCACCAGGTCTGAGCATGATAACCCCCCCAATTGCCTGTCCATGCCCATATCTGCCCCCATAGTGCCCACTAATCACCTGCCCCAATGGCTACAGTGAAGGCATCCCCACAGGCCACCATTGCTATCTTGATGCCCTGGAGGCCTTGCACTTGACAAGGTGCCCGGCTGACCCGGCGAGCATTGGTACCCAATTGACCGTGCTGATTGCTGCCGAAAGTATAGCAGTCCCCAGAGGCTGTAAAGGAGGAAAGGGAGAAAAGGAGCCTCAACTGAGGTTCCAAAGAGGCCAGGAGAGTCCCCTTCCTGCCACCTTGCCCCGGTCCTACTCACCAGTCACAGCAGCTGAATGAGCAGTACCTAGGTCCACACTCAGCAGCGTCTCCTGGTCCAGGGGTGCAGAGCACAGTGGTGTGAAGCTCAGCACCTCCTCCACTTGCTGGTGGGGGGCAGGCTCCTCCCCCAGGGAGAGGTGGTCCAGGCCCAACTTGTTGAACCTAAGGGCAGAGCCAGAAGCCAAGCCCAACGGACACAGTTTGTATAGACCAGCGGTCGCCAACCGGTGGTCAAGGACCACTGGTGGTCCGTGAGGTCCAAAAGGTTGGCAATTGCTGGTATAGACTGTCCTGCCTCCCAGCTATCTGGGCAGGAGCTGATGCACCAGGGGATAGAGACCACCCTGAATTGAACCCACATACCCTCAGACCTCCTGTTCTAATCCCTGGTGGGAAGTAGGCAATGACAGATGGAGCATTAACAGGCAAAGGTGGGGAGGGGGCAGTCTAGTCATCCTGAGGCACCTGGTTACCTGTTGCTCCCGCAGGCCAGGACTCGGCCAGGCACAGTGAGGATCATGGAGGAGTCAATGCCACATACAACCCGCTGGGCTTCCTGTCCTGGGGGCATGGGCACCTGCTGGGGGCAGTTGTAGGACTCCCTGGTGCCTAGTCCCAGCCGGCCTATAAGGAGAAACCAGCATGGGGCTAGTTTGAGCTTTAGGGTTGGTGATGCCAGCCCCAGGCAGGAAACTCCAGCCAATGAGCTGAGGACCCCTGGAGAGGCAGTAATAGTGTGAGTGAAGGCTTCCCACCCTTGGCCCCTCTTTGGGTCAAAATCCTACTCCTTCTTTAAGGACCTGTTCAGATGCCACCGCAGCTCCGCCAGGTGAAGTCCCTTGCCATTCCTTGAGTTTCAATACCTCTGGACTTGGGTGGAGCCCTGATGCTGTCTGTCCTCTGTCATAATGATGTATCATCCCATCTCTCCCCCCACCAGAGTCCTCCAAGAGGACAGGATCCGCACCTACGTCAGCTCTAGTTTCAGTGCCCAGCCTGATGCCTGACCCAGAGAGAGCACAGTGAAAATTGTTGGATGAATGAAATCTCCCTCAGGAGTACCTGAAGGAAGAGATATCTTGTTCATCTTGTCTCAGCACCCAGCACAGGGTGGACACATAGTGGGCGTACAGTAAAGATTTGCTGAGTGAGCCCTGACTGGTTTGGCTCAGTGGATAGAGCGTCGGCCTGAGGACTCAAGGGTCCCAGGTTCGATTCCAGTCAAGGGCATGTACCTTGGTTGCAGGCACATCCCCAGTGGGGGGGGTGCAGGAGGCAGCTGATCGATGTTTCTCTCTCATCGATGTTTCTAATTCTCTATCCCTCTCCCTTCTTCTCTGTAAAAAAAATCAATAAAATATATTTTTAAAAAAAGATTTGCTGAGTGAATAAATGAATGGAATTGGAGAGAAAAGAGGGAGGAGAAAACAGGCCATAGGGTGGAAGGTGGGTATGGAGGGGAACAAATCGTGTCTGGGGGCTGTTGTGAGACAGAGGAGAGGCTGGAAATGGGTAGAGCGCTTACCACCATCTCCGCGGCCCCAGGCAAACAGTTCTCGCTCCGTGGACAGAGCCAGCACATGAGAGGCCCCACAGGCCACCTGCACCATCTCATAACCCAGCAGGGCCTCCACGATGGTGGGCTAGAGAGAGAGGAAACTGGGCAAGGGGCCTGGACCCAACATCCCCTTTCGAGACAGTGTTGGAGGCTTCAAATTCTCATGAGATGGCTGTTTCTTTAACTCACCACCATCACCACCACGGCAACCACTGGGGAAGCCTGGTCTTTCTGTACTTCCCCTGATGTTGCCCAGAACAGGTGCAGCCTGTGAGCTAGAGGGACCTGTGGTTGCTGAAGATCCCCTGCCCCCAACCTGGGTTTCAGCTCTCAGGCTCCTTGCCACCTCCCGGACTTCCTCCTCCCCAAGGCACACGCCACACCCACCTGGCTGATGTCATTGAGGCTGCCATGGCCTAGGCACCCATTGCTGCCGCTGCCAAAGGTCATGATGATACCTCGGTCTTGGGAGGGGGGCATTGAGGAAAGGAAAGGGAGAGAGATTAGGCTGTTTTCCAGGTAGACCAGTCTAACCTTGAGTTGGAGAAACAATAAAAAATTAGTTGGAGGCCGAGGCGGGAAGAATGAAATGGGGGAGAGATAAGGACAGGGGTCTCTTTTCCCCAGTGTGTGACTTTGGACAAGTGACAGCCTCTGAGCCTTGGTTTTTCATTCCTGTTGAATGGGATCCTATGCCTACCTGGCCAGGCCTGTTGTGAAGGGTAAAAGAGTTGGGTAAGTAATCCCTGGTGCTCAATAACTAGTAGATAGAAGCATTATTAAGTGAGCATCCTGTAAATGACAGGCAAGGAGAGAAGCTATTCATAGCCCCCTGCCCTGCTCGCTGCACTAACCCGTCAGGCAAGCTGTGAAGAGGTCCCCGCAGGCCACATGCTTGATGGTCACACCTGACTGGCCTTCCAGGAAACGGGAGACGAACTGGGGCTGCTGCTGCTCCACTGCCCCGGGAAGGAGGGCGCCCCCTCCGCCACCTAGGGGTGGGGCCTGTGGAGCAGACGGTGTGGTGAGAACCTGAGCACCCCCTTCCTTAAGGCATGCCCTGCCCCATTCCGGGCTCACCTCAGCTTCTCACCTCCCACAGGATGAGGCGCCCAGAGCGTGTGACGCCAGCCTTCTGTGTGCGCCCGGCGGCCACCTGAACCACCTCCGTGTTGAGCATTGGCAGCCGCAGAGGAGCACTGAGCCCCCCGCCCCATGTGTACACGGATGACAGAGGTGGTGGAATGGCTGGCCGCGAAGGTCCCCGGGGGATGCCTGTAGGGACGGCTCATGAGGACTATTAAACTGGTGGGAAGGGCATAGTGTCTGCGGGGCCCTGGAAGGTCAGCTGGACTCACCCCTGCAGCGGGCACTGGTGATCCTGCTCCCTGTGCTGCCTGGGGCTATGGGTGGCCCAGTGGCCAGGGACTTCTCTGCCCTGTGGGACAGATGGGCCAACCCTCAGGACATGGACTGACCCTCTTCGGTATTCCCACCCACAGGAATGATTTGCCCTGAGGACCCCTATGTCCCAGTCTTACTGTGCTCCCACCGGGTGCCCCCTACTGCCCAGGGCCCCTCCCCGACTCCCCGCACGGGCCTCCGCATTCGCACGCTGCCCAAGTCCGTGTGGAGGTTGAGGAGGGCACGCATGCAGAGGGGCTGCGCCATGATGTGGCTCAGCGGTGGCCGCTGTGCTGGCTCCAGGCTGAGCAGACTCAGGACCAGCTGGCGCAGCTCAGGGCTGTACCGGTCAGAGATGGGTGCAAAGGTGCCACTCATGATCTTCAGCACCAGCGCTGGCAGGTTCTGTGAAGGCACCAAGTTGTGGGGTCGGCCAGAGCCTCAGGCCAGGCTCTTTGGTGGTTTCGGTCCCAGCCGCTCATCTGATGGGTGGTCACAGCCCAGTGCTCAGGAGACTTCAAACCCTACTTTCAAGAACCTCTGATAGGGGAGCTGCGGCTATGTCCTCAGAAACCCCAGGTTGTTGGGAAAACTTAAGTTTTGCCTTTAAGAGGATCCCTAATCTGATGGGGGAATTCTGCCCTCAGGAGCCCTGTTTAAAGGGGAGAACTGAGCCCTACCCTTGGGAATTCATCGTCTGAGGGAAGCCACAACCCTGCCTTTGGCTAATCCACTAGTCTGATGAGGGAGACCTGACTCAGCCACGGAGAAGAATCGCACAAGCAGGTGGAGCGGGGACTTTAGGGGGAGGGAGACAGAGATTTCCCAGTTGTCCCCTTGGGGGCGGTTACTCACCGCAGCCTCAAAGGCCCTCTTGAGGCTGGCCAGCTCATAGAGGACGCAGCCCAGGGCCCAGATGTCGCTCTTCTGGTTGTAGGGCTTGCCCTCACACAGTTCAGGGGAAATGTAGCATGGCGTACCCACCACCTGCAGGAGGGAAGCTAATATTACAGCCCGGGGAGGGAAGACCAAGGGCCACTTGGAGACAGCTTCTCCCCCAAGCAGGCCAAAGTGCTTCCTCCTGCAGGACTACCCAGTCAGGAGCTAAGGGGCCAAGGCCTTGGGGGTGGAGTGGGGCATAGGGCTGCAGAGTGGGCCGGGGCCCTCAAAACCTCCAGCACCCTGGAGATTCCCTTCCAAGCCCAGGCACCGTGTAGGCCTTGCTCTTGCTGCTAAGGATCTTGGAGATGCCAAAGTCGCCAATCTTGACGACCATGCGATGTTTGTCAAGAAGGATGTTTTGGGTCTTGAGGTCCCGGTGCAAGATGAGATGGGTGTGCACATGATGAAGCGCCAGCAGGATCTGCACAAAGAAGTGCAGGATGGTCTCCTCCTCCAGCAGGGAATTACAGCGCTTTTGGATGAACTCAGCCAGGGTGCCGCCTGCAGCAGCAAGGGTTTAGTCAAGATTCAGTCTTTTCCAGGCCTGAGATTTTCCTCTGATGAAACTAAACACCCAGACAGGGCAAATGCCTCCCATCCACCATCACACTACTTGCATCAGAATTCTATCCCTCTGACCCTCAGCCAAGCCCATTCCAAGGAGGGAGGCTGGCTAATCTGTGTCTGTCTGTGTGTCTGTCTGTCTGAGAGGTGAGAGGCCCCTGAAGCCAGGCCAGTGCCAGGAACCTGGCCCACCTGGTGCATACTCCATGGCAATCATGAGGGCCTTGTCCTCCAGGAAGTTCTCATAGTACTCAATGACATTGGGATGGTTGAGCAGCTTAAGGACCTGACACTCATTCTGGGCTGCCTGCCGCTCTTCCTTGGTCATCTGCTCCACGGGGATCTGCTTGATGATCACCAGCTTCTGGTCTGCCTTGCGCAGGCACAGGTGCACAATCCTGGGGACGGACGCAGAGCACAGCAGTGGGTGCCAGCTTAGCCTCCAGCCACACAGCAAGCTGGGAAGGCCTGGTGACTGGGCGGTGACTAGACTTCAGAGAGGGGACTAAGAGGTCACCTGCGTGCACAGAACACTGAGTTTAGGAATGGGGAGGACTAACCACAAACTCTGTGAGACCTTATTTGAAACTCAGTTTCACCACAGGCACAATGAGGCAAAATTAGTCTTCATCTCTTTTAAGTTTCCACAGACTCTGAAGTCAACCGCCTGGATTCAAATCCTAGCTCCTCCTCTTACTAATTATCTGGTCTTGGATTACGTAACATCATCATCTGGAAGACAGAATGGACCTCACAGTGTTGCTGAGGTGTCCAAATAAGAAAATGCAGCCCAGCTGGCGTGGCTCAGTGGCTGAGTGTGGACCTATGAACCAGGAGGTCACGTTTCATTCCCAGGCAGGGCGCATGCCCAGGTGCAGTTGATCCCCAGTAGGGGCTGTGCAGGGGGCAGGAACCAGGGGGCAACAGATGGATATTTTGCCCTCATTGGATGTTTCTCTCTTTTTCCCTCTCCCATTCTCTGTCTCTAAAAATCAATTTTAAAAAATTATATATATTCTTTACTTTGCCCACTACATCCCAACTATACCATGCTTTCCCTCCGTTCCTGAATGCTCTGAATTTTTCCCACTTGAGGACCTTCACATATGCTGTTTCCTCCACCTGAAAAGTGCTGCCTTCACCTTCGGACTATTCCTCATTCCTCCTGTCTTGGCTTTAAACTTCACCTCTCCGGGAAATTTCCTGCACTACCCCACGTAAGTACGTCCCTGCAAGGTCTTGTTTATTGTGCATTTTTCCTATAGTCTGTAAGCCCTGAGAGAAAAGACCACGCCTGCTTTGGTCTTAACTGTACACCCAGCGCCGAGAGCCTGACGCAGAGGAGGCGCTCAATATTTGTTGAATGAATCAAGTCCGGGATCAAAGACCAGAACCCTGCGTGGGCGCAAACGCTTACCGGGGGCGTGACCTCCGCCGAAGTCAGGTCTACCAGCCGGGCCTGGGACCGGAAGTTGGGCGGGGCTTCCCGGAGTGGGCGCTCCCGCCTCGGGGCGGGGCGGGGCTAACCGGCGATTTCGCCGACAGAGTTGGGTTTATTTTCCCTCTCGTGAGTGCTTTCCTCCCCCAGAGCCCTGGCTCACCCGAAGGCACCTCTTCCCACCACTCGGATCCGCTCGTACTTCTCCATCTCGTGTCTCAGTCACATTTCCGGAACCCCGACGCCCAGACGCGGCGCGTGCGCGGGCCCGCCCAGTCCGGTAAGCCACGCCCACTCCAGTAAGCCACGCCCTCGCTGCAGAGAAGCGCCCGGAGCCCGCGGAGTAACCTGTTGGTTCTGCCCGTACCTCGCCTGCAGCCTGGGTCTGCGGGGCCGCTTTTCCAGGGCCCCGGGAGGGAAGGGGCGATGTGCCATGTCTTGGCGCACCGTAACCTCCCCACCCTCGTGGCCGCATCCGGCCCTCGCAAAGCTTCCTAAGACCGGAGAGGTGCTCTTCGCAGACCGAGTGCGGGTGGGAAGCGAGGACTGACCTCTCTCTGCCCCGCTACTGGCCCACTAGTGACTGTTTCGGAAGGAAAGCAGATTCTCACTGGTTCCAAACGATACACACTACCCAAACCGACGCGCTCGGTCCATCGGGCCCGGTCGGTGTCTTGTTTGCCTGGGGAGGGACCAGGGCAACCCCGACCTGTGCAAGTTGATTCACCTGCGGAGGATGTGACGCGGTCTCCACGCAGCCCGGGCCGGTGGACACCGCGCTCTGAGCACTATCAGCCCCCAGCGTCACACACACAATGCCGCCACGGGGTCCTCTGCCTTCAGCATCCGCCGACCCCCTGGCTCGGGGGAACCTCCGTCAGGGAAGATGGGAGGGAAGTGGACGGCTGTCTCACGAGTAAAAGCATCAGGGAGAAGAGGAAAGACAGCCTTTTGGCCTATATGTGTTCTAGGCTTCTGCCCAGAGGTTAGTACGATTGTTTAGGGTCTTGACCAGAAATCAGTTCAATTCCAGGTGTCTCCCTGGCACCTCCTGCTCTTCACGAGTCAATACAAGCTCAGTTAAGGAGCAAGAGGATGGTGATTAGCTAAGGGATGGCGTCCCTACTTCCGAGTGGGTGAGGAGTGTGAGTAATGGGGTGTGTACCTTCTGCTCCCACCTCACCCCTCGAAAGGTGTCCAAACCTGCCCACGTCTGATGACCACTAGGAGGGCCCCAGGTGGGCCTCTCCGGACTCAGGCCAGGGCTGGCTGTGGGACAACTGCTGGGAGCAGAGGGTGGCGGGAGCAAGCGCAAAGGGGGAAAGACGCTCACCCAGGACACTCGTGCTCTCACCTAGAAACCGATCGGGCCTCGGCTGACCCAGAAGCCCCACAGGGTTTAATGTGTAACCCTGAAGCCATCAGGGGAGGCAAAGCAAACACCCAAACCTCTCGGCCCCTGGGTCTCTGGCGCCTCATGTTTCTGGCTTTTCCCTCCCCCTCGCCGCACCTTTTCCCTCGTCCCCAATTACAACTTTCCTTTCCTCCACCTAACCCCCTCCCCCTTCACTTTTCTCACCCTCACCCCCTACTCCAGACCCGGCTCTTAGCTGCTCCTCCTTTCGCCAGAGTCTGGCTGGCTCACTCTCCCCTAAAGCAACAACCTCATTTGGGGGGGGGGGGGGGGGGAACGACTCGATCCCAGCCACGGTGGGTACAGGCTGACATCTAGTGGCCACACGCTGCAACTGCTCCAGGCCACCGGCCTGAAGAGTAAGGGTCACCGGAGCAGCTGGGGCAGGGCGGCCGCCTTCCCCGCTCCGGCCTCCAGGGAGCCGGGCTGTCGGGAGGAGGTTTGTCACAGCCGCGGGGCCCCAGGAGCCCCGAAGCGGGCCGGGGGAGGGGTGGTGAGGGGTTAGTCAGGAGTTTCTAGGCACCGACTCCGTGCGGGGGGCGCTGTAGAGGCAGGTAAACACATCCGTCTCCAGCCAGAAGCGGGCGATCCAGTGAAATAGCAGGGACAGGGCAGAGATCACGGTCCGAGGCGGGGCTCCGACCCGTACCCCGGACCCGGGTTTAAAAGTCGTGGGTGTGTGACGGATCCTGTCAGCTCTGCCAAGAAAGGAGTTGAGGGCGGAGAGAGTTCTTGCAATACCCGCCCAAGCGGGGGAGCCGGTGGCCCCGAGGAAAGTGGGGGGCGGGTTAATGAGGCCAAGCGAGCGAGTCGGCAGTCGGGAGGCGCCAGCGAGGGGTGGCTTCGCGGCGGCGCCTCGGGACGGCCCCCGAAGTCTGCAGGAGAGAGGCGGGGCGCGGTAGGCCCTCCGGGAACAGGGGCGCGCGCCCTCCGCTGGGAAAGGCGCCGGAGGGGCGGGGGCAGGCGGACGGGGCGGGGCGGGGGCGCGGGCGGTTAGGGGCGGGGGCAGAGGCCCGCCGGGAGGGGACGGGAGGAGCGAAGGGGCCTAGAGGGCTCCGCGAACAACTGTGAGGCTGCCGGCCGGCAGGAGCGGCGCCCGGGGTGGACTGGCCCGAGAGGGAGCCCGTTCCCCAACAGCCCGAGGAGGCCGCCTAGAGGGCGGACAGACCGACGCCGGGGAGGGCCAGCATGCTCCCACTGCTGCACCCCGCCCTGCTGCTGCTCCTGGGCGCCACGCTGACCTTCCGGGCGCTCCGGCGCGCGCTCTGTCGTCTGCCTCTGCCCGCGCACGTGCGCGCCGACCCCCTGCGCACCTGGCGCTGGCACAACCTGCTGGTCTCCTTCGCCCATTCCATTGTGTCAGGGATCTGGGCTCTGCTGTGGTGAGTGAAGGGCCGGGAGGGGGAGTGAAGGTGACTAGGGGACCCCGCGTTACTCTCCCCATCACTCCCGGGCGGGCTGAGGCCACGCAGTCTCACATGATTCCCTGTCTGGAAAGCTATCCAATCCGGAGCCGCAGCGGCCCCAGGGGAAGGGGGTGTCACCTGGGAAAGGGGAGACACCTGGGTTTCAGCCAAGCCCCTCCTTGCTCCCCAGCTAATAGCGCGAGCCCGGACTCCCCCGGGACTGTCAAAGGTCCTTAGGAATGGGGAGATGAGCGCCTGCCTTCTTCCCCCCCTCAGTGTATGGCAAACCCCCGAGATGCTGGTAGAGATTGAGACGGCTTGGTCGCTTTCTGGCTATCTGCTCGTTTGCTTCTCCGCAGGTAAGCCTTACCTAGTAAACACTGAAGTAGGTGGGGGAACAGGGAGGAGCATCGTATAATCCCCTTCATGACCTTTCCCCCCTCCCTCTGCTAGGTTATTTCATCCACGACACGGTGGACATCGTGGTTAGTGGTCAGGCTCGAGCTTCTTGGGAATACCTGGTCCATCATGTCATGGTGAGAAACAATGGGTGTGGTATAGCCCTGGCGCTAGCAACTCCATCCCCACCGCGTCCTGCACCTTCCCGTGTCAGGGTGCTAATCTGTGCCCTTGGTTCACTATTTGAGGCCAGCAATCTAACTTCATCTAGTACCTCAAACACTCTAAACTCTACACAGGGATCAAAATTTAATCATGTTGAATTCACTGTAAACTATGTCAGAAGAAAGCAAACGGGAAGACTTTCCAGTCCTTAATCTGATAGCTGACACTCCCATCAACTTCCAGTCAAGTCTTGGCATCTATTTCCTAACTTGTTCTCATCTTTGCCTTCTAGGCCATGGGTGCCTTCATATCTGGCATCTTTTGGAGCCGTTTTGTCGGCGGGGGTGTCCTGACACTGCTGGTAGAGGTCAGTAACATCTTCCTCACCATTCGCATGATGATGAAGATCAACAATGCCCAGGACCTCCTCCTCTACAAGATCAATAAGTATGTCAACCTGGTCATGTACTTCCTCTTCCGCCTGGCCCCTCAGGCCTACCTCACCTACTTCTTCATGCAGTATGTGGGTCAGAGGAGCCTGGGCTCCTTTCTGCTGGGTATCCTGCTCATGCTGGACATCATGATCCTCATCTACTTTTCCCGCCTCCTCCGCTCGGACTTCTGCCCTGAACGTGTGACCAGCCCACAGCACAAAGACAAGTTCTTGACAGAGTGAGAGTGAGGGGCAGAGCCTGGGACTTGAGGCAAGGACAGCAAAGAACCAAGGAGAACAGCCTCATGAATAAACTGATGAGCCCCAAACCTGGGGCATCAGCCTCTCCACCTTTCAAGCTTGCACCCACGATTGAAAACACTAATGAAAGCACTCCTCTGAAGTCCTTGTCCTTTCTTGGGCAAGGGGTGAGGGAAGCAGACAGACCGGTTGGACACGGTAGATGGGTGTGGGGACAGTGCTACCCGAAAGCCAGCCAACCCATATTGCCCTGAAATGGATGCTGATGAAAACTCTGGGTACTGGTTTCATACAAAGACTTCTTCCAGGGATAAAGGAAGGGGTTCTTATAAAACGTCTTGCTTGTTTGCTTACTCCTGTGACAGAGGCAAGCTCTGGTTGTCCTAGGACAGCTAACCCTAGAGTCTGGGTCACAAGTACCTGCTAGCTGAGTTCCCACCACCAAGATTACAACAAGTATGGGAAGTGCTAAGTGTACCAACAGGGTAAATAGGCCAAGAGTCTTGCCCAAACTCTATTCAGTGTTCCCCCAGCCCAAACAGAAATCAACATAAAGAAACAATACAGTGTAAAATTTTTATATTTAGAATTAGGCAGCTGGACTCAGTTTAGATGATTCCAATCTGAAAAACAAAAGGGGATTTTGTTACTGGAAGTTGAAATGTGAAGATTAAGCTAGAATGTCATGATTAAAAAGCAAAATGTGGGCATAGGGTAGGGCTTATTAAGGGGAGAGAGGGGTGCAGTCAGTCAGTTAAGGCTAATCAGCAAAAGTCAGGCTTTGGTCGCTAATAAGACACATCATTTGCACCCAGGGGGTGGGGTGTTGAGAGGAGTTTTGTGGCAAAGAAAGCTTACTTTGTTGGCAACATCCAAAGCATCATAGTCAGGAGCCAGTCGAACATATGCCTTCTTCTCGCCATCAGGCCTAGGGCGGAAAGGGCAGCCTCAGTCCCTGCTGTCCTCATTGGCCCCATACCCTCCACCCAGTCTTTGGGGCACCAGGAGTTCCTTTGTTCATGTTTTTCTTTTGACAACAGTGGTTTGTCATCTGCACAGAGGAAGCGAGGGAAGCCACTAGGCTACAAACAAAGCCAATTCCCTTTTATGGGAAACACCACTGGACATCCAAATCCAGATAATCTGACATAAATTTTCTTACTCTAGGGCCTTTCTAGAGGCAGGAATCAAGAAAATGAGTGTCAACCCCATAAATCAAGTTCTAAAGGCAGGACAAGCTATTGATTCCTCAAAAGTCCATACAAAGGACCATAATTACAGCAGGGGCTGCTCATTTCTGACCCAAAAGCAGCATCAAGGAACTTGATGCTTGTTCAGATTTCCTTGGCTTCTGACTGAAGCCCCAGCCATCTCCCCAGCCCATGGAGCCCCACTCACCTGATCAGGGTGTTGACCTTGGCCACATCAATGTCATAGAGCTTCTTCACAGCCTGTTTGATCTGGTGCTTGTTGGCCTTGACATCCACAATGAACACTAGTGTATTATTGTCTTCTATCTTCTTCATGGCTGACTCGGTAGTCAGGGGGAATTTGATGATGGCATAGTGGTCAAGCCTGGGGAAGGTAAAATGGGGTCACCTAGCCGAGCCCAGTTTAACAGAATGAGCCGTCTTTTGGAGCCCAGGTGCATCAGATGATGAGTAGCAATCATTTTTGTCAGACTTTGGTCGCTGAACAGTATCATCACCTGCACCCTGAAATCTAGACCTGGAGCCTCAGCCTGAGAGCAAAACCATGAGCACTTCCTTTCACTTGAAGGGCTTTCATCCTTTAAGTGATTAAATCATCTTGAGTTCCAAATCATCTTGAGCTTCATTCTTTATTTGACCTCAACATTTCTGAAGGGCATATTTCTGAATAAAATTTAAGACCTGAGACATTAAAACCAAAAAGCACACAGCTAGAATACAGCATCTTGAAACTCGGGTTAGAATTCCAAAGAATTGGTGCTTCACTATGAGGCTGGGGAGGCCAGGCCATTTCTACCCATTTTGGTTGCTGAAAACTGGCTTGAGGGCCATCCATTCTTGAAAGCAACTTTAAAAACAAAATTTACAGCTCAGGTTCAACTTAGTGGCTTAAACACCCCTACAGCACAGTTCCCCCCGCCCCCGAAATTCAGAGAAGCAAGGCTCTGTTCACATGGACACTACCATCCCATTTTGAAGCTAGAAGTCAGGTCTCAGCCTTTCATTACCCTAAATTCTAGGTCCAAATGGGGATAAAAAGCCTGTCAAGTGTTTTCCTCCACAGCTGGACACAAACCACTCCCCTGCCTTTTTCTTAGGAAGCAGTGGGAGGAGCAGAAACCCATCAGCTTCTACTTCCTTGGTTCTACTCTAGTCGTGGTTCCTGAGGTCAGTTATTAACAGCAGCACTACTCAACCATTATCTGAGTGCAAACATTTGAGAGTGAATGAAAAGATGTTTCCATACACTGCTGCAGGCCCTCACCCTCCAATACAAATGAATGAATCTTGTTATCAACCTAGAATCATCACACATCCTCACCCTCAAGGACTATTCCCTATATAGCAATAGGTGCTATGAGGGATGAACTAAATCTGGAGCTCCAAAACAAGAACCTAAGTCCTATTTTATACTTCCAAGAAAGTGGACTTTAAAACCCTAACACAAAGTGATAATGAACCTAACAACGAATTCCTGCCAACAGTGTAAACAATGTCTCTTCTTGTTCTTTAAGGCATTAATCTCCCCACACCCCCATCAAGAAGTACCTCAACATGTTTTTAAGAAGCCAGGTTCTAAGTTTGGTAAATTTCATAATTACCAATGGAGGATATCCAAACATCTTTTCAAGAGGATGGTCGGTGCTCTTCTGGGAAGCACGCCTGTGCCCTTCCCTTCCCCCCTCCCCCAGGTGCATTGCCTTTGCCTTTCTCGCTCCTAAGCTCCAAAGGCCCTTCTGTCTCTGCCTCTAAGTTGTTTCCTGAGCCTACACAGCCCAGGTAGTTCACTTCTACTACCTATGCAACTTCCTAAATAAACTTCCTCTTATACTGGGGGTTGGGGGGAGGAGGGGCAATACTGACTTGTTTCTCCTGGGCGCGCTCTTCCGAGGGTATTTAGGCTGCCTCCGGAGCCTTAGTGTCTTTGGCCGTCGGAAAGTGGGTGACGTGCGGATCTTCTTTTTTTTGTGGCTGTGGACGCCTTTCAACACTGCTTTCTTTGCCTTCAAAGCCTTTGCTTTGGCTTCGGCTTTGGGAGGGGCAGGGGCTGAGAAAAGGAAAGAGAATGAGCGATTCAGAAATCATCACTTCCGGCCTAATGAACGGTAGTGGGCGCACCAGGCTACATGTGCATCAGTGGTTCCTTTGGAGACATCACAAGTCTCAGCTTAAAAGTTTTTCCATCATATGCACAGTTATTGGGGCAAACTTGGAGCAACTCCAGGGATACCACAAAGGAAAAAACAAAACAAAACTATCAATAATCGAACGCTTGACACTTGCCAGAACGTTGTGCTAGCAGTTTTATAACATCTCACAGCCACCCCGGGAGGGTATATAGCCGAATATAATGAAGTTAAAAAAACTAAAGTAAGTTAAGTTGAGGGCACTGATTCCTTACAGGTCTGGAGACACGGAGCGGCGGCCTGTGGATGCGTGTAGCTCCCCGCAGTCGACTATGTGGCTGCGGGTTCCCTCCCCAACCCCCTTCAACCGGAGCCCAAGCCCATGTGGCTGGGCCCACGCGCGCCGCAGCGTGACCGAAACGAAACGGGAAGAGCAGCTCCGGAGCTGACACCCCAAATCTTAGCCCAGCCACCGTCCTTTCAGTTTGTTTACTCTGCGGGGATCCCAGGCCGGCCAACCAGCAGTGTTCCTCCCAAACCCCACCACACACCTTCCTTCTTAGCTTTCGGCGCCATCTTCGTAAAAAGGGTTTCCGAGACCCGTTCTCCTGGGCTTATAGAGCCAAGTCTCACCGAAACCTCGCGATGTTTTCTACTTAAAGCTGCTTGGGTGATCTGTAGCGCGGCGCCCGCTGGGAATAGTAGTTAGGCTTCATTTCCTTAAGAGCGACTAAGCATGCGCCACCCCGCCCCTCGTAAGAACTAAGCTTCTTGGGGGTTGTAGTTTATTTGTCTGCTGTGGCGGTTGGATGGTAAGCGGACAGCCACTCGGGTCTGGTCCTGAGCGCTTCCCATCTTCAGCAACTTCAGGGAAAAGCATTGCAAGTTCCAGGAGACAGCAGCACTGCAAACTGTAACGAATATAATTCGATTAGCTCAGGGAGAGTGAAGCAAAGTTCTAGAACGTTAGAGCAGAATTTGTCAGGCCTAACTCCCTCAAACAACATTTGTGTAAATTGAGGTCCCGAGGGGATATGTGGCAGATCAATAATGGTGATTTTGGGGGGGGAAATAAAAATCGAGTCACGCAGAGGGGAGGAAAAAAAGTACCAGACGAGGTAGAAGGTGGCAACATCTCCCCTCTTTACCCGTGGCAGTCTGATTTCATGTGTTTCCCTGACAAGACTCTGGAGGAAATTCTAGCAATATTCCAAACGCCCAGCGCACAGACTTCAGCATTCGCTAATTCTCCTTGTGAATAACCCCGTTCACAATTCCCCCCTTTCAGTAGTCTTCGCTTTCGTGCCCCAGCCGTCCATCGTTGCTCCTCAGATTCAGTTCTGGACACAGAGCAAAGCTGAGCAGAGCTGCAGTTCGCCTCCCGGAGGGTCGGCGTCCTCCGGCCTTCACCCCTCCCTTTCTATCGTCTCTCTGGCCTCTGGGAATCTGCTTTCCTCAGTGACGGTGAGATTTGGGGTGCGGTACCCGGTTCTGTCTCCCACGACGGCAAAATGCGAAAGTTGTTCTTGGGACGATTCCAAAGGGGCCAGTTTGAAGAACGCCGCTACCCGAGGGGCGTCCTCATGTTCCGGAGCAGTGACCTCCCCAAAGGGCGGAGTTCCCGGCCCGTCGAGCCCTCCTTTATCCTCCATCAGGGGGGCGGCTGGGTCTTCGGCCTCCCCACCCCTCAATCCACCCCGGAGCCTTCGAGGAAACGATGCCACGCCTCGGACGTCTCTCTCCGAGGGGGGCACCCAGCTCCGCCTCTGCACCCCTGTCGCTCCCCCTCCCACCTCCCACCTCCCAGGGCTGAAGGGCGAGCGGGGGCAGACGCTGTGAGTCACGTCCCGGGCCTGCAGTTGGGAGGGAAGCGCCGCCTCTCCTTGGGCCCCTTGGCTCCCCCTGGCCCGCCCCGCCGGGCCTGGCACAGCAGATGCTGCGCAGCCGTCGCCGCTTCCCCATCACCCGCTCGGCTGGGTAAGGGTCCCGGGGAGGCGCAGCCCCGCACACGGGTGCAGGCCGAGCACCTGGGGGTCCCTCTCTGGGCGGGTTCCAGCACGTGGGGGGCGGCCTGGGTCCCAGATGAGGCGCCTGGCGGGGGAGCCGAGGCTGGGGCGGTGCAGGGAGGAGGAGAGGATGGGGATCCCGGGCGGGGTGCGAGGCCGCGAGCCGCCGGGAGAGGGGCCGGGGGCGGCCCTTCTGCAGGAATTTCCGGGGATCAGGTTACCGCGCCGGCGGAGGGGGAGCGGCGTGCGACGCGGGGCCCTGCGGCCGCGGACTGGGCCCCCCTCCCCGCTTCCAGCGGCTCTCGGACCTCGCCGCGCGGCCCCTGCCCACACCGACCGCGGGCGGTGGGGCCGCCCCAGCCCCCGGGCCGCCCGGTTATGGTGGGGCCGCCTCCACCCCGCGTTGTCGTCGGGTCTCCGCGGCCTCGAGTGATTGTGGGAACTCCCCGGCCCCGAGTCATCGTCGGGTCTGCGCGGGCCCGGGACCCCCCGGACGGGACTCCCCGCCCCCATTCGGCGGCCGAGGGGTCTCCCCGCCCCCGAGTGGTCTTCGGGACGCCCCGGGCCCGGGTGATCGTGGGTTCGCCGCAGCCCCGGGTGACTGACCCCTCCCCGTGGCCCGCAGCGATCGGGGCGTCCCCGCGGCCGCGGGCTCCCGCAGGCTCCCCTGGGCCCCGAGTTGTGGTCGGGACTCCTCGGTCGCGGGTGATTGTCGGGTCCCCACGGGCCCGGGTCGCCGGGGCGGGTCAGGCCCCCGCGCCTTCTCAGGGCGCCCCACCCGGCCGCAGGCAAGATGAACCTCCTGGCGCCCGTGCGGAGGGACCGCGTCCTGGCGGAGCTGCCCCAGGTAGGCGCGGGCCACGTCGGGCTTCTGGCGGCGGCGCGTGGGCGGGGAGGAGCGGCCCGGGCCCGTTAGCGCCGCGGCCCAGCCCTGCCGCCCGCCCGGCTGCTGCTTCTGGGTGGTCCCCTCCCCACCCCCGGCCCCGGGCTGCTTGGCTGTGGGACGGGGGCCAGGATGGTGAGTCTCCTTCTGCTCCACCCCTGGCAGCACCTGAGGAAGGAGGCCGCCTTGCACGTGCGCAGAGACTTCCACCCCCGGGTCACCTGCGCCTGCCAGGAGCACCGGACCGGCACCGTGGGGTGAGTTGGAGACCCCAACATGAAGACAGGAAGTCCCAGGAAACTTTGTAGTCAAAGCGAGGGGGCTCCATGGCACCCTCTACCAGCTAGATGGTTATTCCCTCTTTTGATGTCCTCGCATCTACCCCTTCGTTTCCAGCGAGGTTGTGGGGTGGCCAGAAAGGTGGCAGTTCAATTCCTGACACAGAGACGGGGGTGGTCCTCGGCTCAGCTTCCACATACCACCCCTTTGAGCCCCAGGGTCCAGGGGGGGGCGGGGGGGTGGGGATGGGGTGTGTATGCCTATACCTAAGGGAATACTAATAACAGTTGCCACTATGAATGTAGCAGCTACTGTGTGCCAGGAAGTGTGTTAGATACTGTTACTTTTATTAAATGGAAAACACCATCACTTTTAAAGATGTACCCTGATTTCAGAGGTATTAAAATCTATGTGTGTGATGTGTGGGGGGGGGAGGTATGTTTCAGAATATAGAACATTTATCTCATTTTAACCTTCACAAAAACCCAATAAGAGATATTCTTTTTTTATTTTATTAAAGTTATTGGGGTGATATGAGTCAACAGGGACATACAGGTTTTAGGTGTGGGTTTCAATGTTACAAGATCTGTGTATTGCCGAGACCGGTTTGGCTCAGTGGATAGAGCCTCGGCCTGCGGACTGAAGGGTCCCAGGTTCGATTCCGGTCAAGAGCATGTACCTTGGTTGCGGGCACATCCCCAGTGGGGAGTGTGCAGGAGGCAGCTGGTCGATGTTTCTCTCTCATCGATGTTTCTAACTCTCTATCTCTCTCCCTTCCTCTCTGTAAAAACTCAATAAAATATAAAAAAAAAAAGAAAAAGAAAGAAAAAAAAAAAAAAAAGATCTGTGTATTGCCGAAACCGGTTTGGCTCAGTGGATAGAGCGTCAGCCTGCGGACTGAGAGGTCCCGGGTTCGATTCCGGTCAAGGGCATGTACCTGGGTTGCGGTCACAGGATGTGCAAGAGGCAGCTGATCGATGTTTCTCTCTCGTCGATGTTTCTAACTCTATCTCTCTCCCTTCCTCTCTGTGAAAAATCAATAAAAAAAATATTTAAAAAAAAAAAAAAGATCTGTGTATTGCACCATGTGTTCACTACCCAAAGAAAATATATTCTGAATCTCCACTTAAATGTTGAAACGGAGACAGAGAGACCAAGTAGTTTGTCCTAAGTCACACCGCTAGTAAGTGTGAGAGCTGGGATTCAAATTTATGTCTTTTTGATACTAACCCACAAAACACCCCTAGCCGGTACATCTGTCCAGAAAGCTGCCTAGGAGGCCTGGTGTCTACCGGTGTCTATGGCAACTGCAGCCTAGGTGCGACTACCTTTGTAGACCTCTTAGGTTGCATTGGGACTCCCTAGAGTGAAAGAACTAGTGCCCACTCCTCTTGCCTCCTCTTGTGTCCAGCAGATTTAAGATCTCCAAGGTCATTGTGGTGGGGGACCTGTCGGTGGGGAAGACTTGTCTCATCAATAGGTAAGAGGGTGCTGGAGCTGAACTGGGTTGGGCTGGGCAGGGTAGGGCCAGGCCTAGCCAGAGGGGCTGGGCTAAGGGCCAGAGCCTCTGGTGCCCCCTCAGGTTCTGCAAAGACACCTTTGATAAGAATTACAAGGCCACCATTGGAGTGGACTTTGAGATGGAACGATTTGAGGTGTTGGGCATCCCCTTCAGTCTGCAGCTGTGAGTCCTTCTTCCGCTCTCCCTCTTCCAGCCGTTTCTTCCTCTGGCACTTACACCCCTCCTACGCCCCTGTCCCCCATACCTCTGTGTCACCCCTCCTCCCTCCTAGCTGGGATACCGCTGGACAGGAGAGATTCAAATGCATTGCATCAACCTACTACCGAGGAGCTCAAGGTGAGGGGCTGGGTGAAGTGGGGGAGGAGGCTGCTTCTAACCGAGGGCTGTGGAAATGAGCCAGTAGCGTCTCCTTACCAACCTGGGACTGTTTCTGCCACTCTTGCAGCCATCATCATTGTCTTCAACCTGAATGATGTGGCCTCCCTGGAACATACCAAGTATGTGGGGGTGCTGACATATACGGGGGCTCTGGGAAGAGAGGGTTCCGAGAGAAGAAAAGAGGGGTGGTCAGGGGCATGGTAGGGAAGGAAAGAACGCATCTAGGAGCAGAGGATAATTGAGCAGATGAGTGTCAGTGGCAGGAGCCTGCCCACTTCATCTCTTGCTGTCCACCGTCTGTGGCAGGCAGTGGCTAGCTGATGCACTCAAGGAGAACGACCCTTCCAGCGTGCTTCTCTTCCTTGTGGGTTCCAAGAAGGACCTGAGTGTGAGTGTGCCCGTGGGGGAACTTCCCAATTTGGTGAGGGAACCCTCCGCATCTGACTCTGTCTTTCCTTCAGACTCCTGCTCAGTATGTGCTAATGGAGCGAGACGCACTCAAGGTGGCCCAAGAGATGAAGGCTGAGTACTGGGCAGTCTCGTCTCTCACTGGTGAGTAAGGGGCGTCAGGCCTTCTGTGTGGCATTCCTGCCTACCTTGCCTCTCGCTCCTACAACTCCAGCTGTGCCCAGGGAACCCAGGCTGGAACTGCCCCTGAGCACCCACCTGTTCCTGTGTCAGGTGAGAATGTCCGGGAATTCTTTTTCCGTGTGGCGGCACTGACCTTCGAGGCCAACGTGCTGGCTGAGCTGGAGAAATCAGGGGCCCGGCGCATCGGGGATGTTGTCCGTGAGTTCCCACCTGGATGAGGGTGGCAGAAAGCATGGGGAACCTCCCATCCCTGCGTCACTTATTTCCCACTCTTCTTCAGGCATCAACAGTGATGACAATAACCTCTACCTAACTGCCAGCAAGAAGAAGCCCACATGTTGCTTGTGAGGGACTGCCCAGTCCTGGGGCACTGTGCCACTTTGACTTGCCTGGAACTCTCTCCCTGGACATCTGCACTGACTGTTAGTCCAAACCAAAGAGCTGCCCGTTGGTGGCAGTACCCCCCGAGGGGTAGTTGGGACCATGCTAGCCACTTCCTGCCCCTGGGCACCATACCAAAGACTGGGTGCCCCGTGGTGGGGAGGTGGTCCCTGCCGCTTTTGCTCAACATGCTGGGCCTTTGGGGTAGGAGGATGCTAAATGATCCCAGCCTCACACTGTGCCTTATGCATTAAAATCTCTGTTATTAGCAGCCTGGGGGTTGAAGTCCTTTGTTGGGGATGAGGGAAACGGAACGGGCAGGGCTGTGTGGTGTTCTTGAGGCTGGAGCCTCCTGCTGGGATGCTGGACGTCTCTGGCCCCTGGGCAAGCCTCAGGCAGGCTGGGAGCTCAGGGACCATGTTTGGGGGGGCGGGGCTGCACTCTCACTGGGTGAAATCTGAATTGTTGGCTTTGAGAGCCCTTTCCTGTAGTCCTTTCCCCCAAAATGTGTCCTACTTGGTGCTTATACCCAAATTTCCACCACTGGATAATATTCTTTCCTTCCTTCTCCCTCTATTCCTTCCTTCCTTCCTTCCTTCCTTCCTTCCTTCCTTCCTTCCTTCCTTCCTTCCTTCCTTCCTTCCTTCCTTTTCTTCTCTTCTTCTTTTGCCTCTTCCTGGCTTCCCTTTTATTTATTTTGTTAATCCTCACCCGAGGATATTTCTCCATTGATTTTTAGATAAAGTGGGAGGGGGGGAAACAAAGAGAAACATCAATGTGAGAGAAACACATCAATTGGTTGCCTCCCCCACATGCTCCCACCAGGGCGGGGGATGGAGCCTGCAACTGAGGTACATGGCCTTGACTGGAATCGAACCCAGCACCCCCCAATCTGAGGGCTGACACTCTATCCACTGAACCAAACCAGCTAGGGCCCACCTTCCCTTTAAAAAATGCTTCTCTGCCCTAACTGGTTTTGCTTAGTGGATAGAGCGTCGGCCTGTGGACTGAAGGGTCCCGGGTTTGATTCCAGTCAAGGGCACATGGCCAAGTTGCAGGCTCGATCCCCCATGGGGGGGTGTGCAGGAGGCAGCCGATCAATGATTCTTATCATTGATGTTTCTATCTCTCTCTGAAATCAGTATATATATATAAATAAAATAAAAAATGCTTTTCTGAGGGGAACAGTGAGAAGTGATTGAGTTTTTGATACTTTTTGGATTGACCATAAGGCCCAGGGAGGTAGGGCCTTGGCTATTATTCAGAAGATACGTTATCTAATACCTAACTATATTAGGGGTATAAACATAAAATTATGAGTGGTACCTTTTTACATCTGAAGACAGACTAAAGAACTAAACTGAATAAAAAATCAGATGTGTATTTTTCCCTCTTCAAAAGAGACATACGTGCATGACCTGCACTTGAATCCTCACTTGCCTCCTCTTGTGTCCTCTTAGGGCGCTCAGGCAGATCACTTATCCTCTGTGCCCCAATTTCTTCATCTATAAATGAGGCTAATAATACTGATGAGGTTTCATGGGTGAAATCAGATAAGACACTACCAAGTACATAGGAAGAGCTCAAAAACCTCAGCTATCATAAGTATACAGGAAGAGTGACCAAGACCCTGGCTCATTGTTGACATCTGACCCAGAGCTATACATCAGTTGGAAGTATCTCAGACATCTGGACCAACAATGGAGGGACACACGTGGCCTGGTGCCATCCTGGGAAACCATGGAGGGTCAAGATGAGAATACAGATCCTGGCCCCCAGTCAGCAAGTGCTCTGTCCGTTCTATGCCTGTGTTCATTCTTCCCCAGCTCTGTTCTTGGAGGGTTGACTTTTTTTGCACAACCCTCTTTTGCCCTGATTTCCCCATCCCCATCTGTCCCTAGAACTGGAGGTTCTGGGTGGGGGTCTGACCCAGTCATGTTGCTGGGTCTGGAGGAAAGTGAAGGTTGATATCATGGAGAGCAGCAGCAGGAGGGGCCCTTGGTTTCTCTGGAGAAAACAAAGTTTAAATACCATCCATTCCTTTCCATCCTTTGAGGCATAACCTCACTTTGGAGCCTGATGCCAAGAAAAATTGAGGGGTGTGATGTGTGGAATGCCGGTTGTAAGGCTCTGACATTCTTTCACATTCTCCTGGAATTGTCTTTTGTTTATCTTTGCACCCTCATAGGACTGCACTCATCAACCCTTTCCTTGCACAGAGCTTGTAACTCAGTGTGTGAGTGTGTGTGTGTGTGTGTGTGTGTGTGTGTGTGTGAGAAGTCTGCACCACAATACTGTTGTGGAGTGTTTGCGCTGAGTAAAATGTGGGGAGCAGGGGTATGGTTCTGTATTCTGGGTAGCCTCTGTGAGAGGTGTGTGCATATTGTATTAGTCTGTGTGTGGTGAGATTTTGTTCTGTGTGCTAAATGTGTGATACAGGCATGCACAATGTGCATGCTATCCTTAAGGGTGGGAGGGGTGTATGGTGGAGGGATGTGTGTAGGTTACAATGAATACAGTGGATCCTGCTCCCAGCACTGGGCAAGCCTATGGAGACACATAAGGTTGTGTGACTGAAATAAGATAAAGCACCAACACATAGGAAGAGCTCAAAACCCTTAACTATTATGATAATTTGGGGGGGGAAATTGACCAAGACCCTGCCTTTTGTTAAGATCTTTATTGGGCAGTATTTCTCTGGGTCGGGGTGCCTCATGGGGGCCGGAAGGGAATACTGGTAAGAAGCTCTGGCGGTGGGCGCCCCCTTGGGGCTGGGCTCGGACATCCAGTCCTCATCCGAGGACTCTGCGGGCGGAGAGAGAGAGAGTGATCCTGGCCTCCCGCCAGGCCTGGAGGAGCCCCAGGAGAGCCGGGATGAGGGGTGAAGTGGGAAGCCGTCCCTCCCCAGGCCGCGGGGAGAGGGTCACGTGCAGGTTGGGGGCGGGGCTAAGGGCCGCGGCGAGGTTCGGAAGGGACTGGGAGGGGCCAGGAGCGGTGCGAAGAGTAAGTCGAGAGAATGGAGGGGGCGGGGCTAGGGGCGGGGCTAAAGTCTGGGTGGGGGCAGGAAAGCGTTAAGAGCTGGGGGTAGATCTGGAGAGGAACTAGGATGGGCCTGAGCGGCCTAGCTAAGGTTTGGGCCTGAGATTAAAGGTGAGGTACTAAGGTTAAAGTGGAACAAAGGGGGAAGAGCCCTGCAGGCGCTGGGGTGCCCCGGATGAAGAGCGTGGCTGAAGCTTAGTCTTGGGCTGAGAAGACATCGCAGCTTAGAACGGGTCTGGGAAGGTGGGTGGAGGGGTGGGACCAGCATGAGGCAGAGCTGAGGGCTCCAAGGGGGCGAAGCTGACATTGGGGTTTACGGTTGCCTCGGCCCAGCTGAGGTTCAGAGTCTGGTAGAGAGGAAGAACTGGGCCGAGAGCGATGTGGGTGAGGACGACAATGACCGTTGAAAGGTGGACTGAGAAAGAGACTGAGGACAATGCCAGCACCTGGGATGATAGCAGCAGTGGTAAGGCGAGGGCGGGGCAGCAGATCAGGGGAGGGCTGGCCCGAGGACCTAGTGAGCCTGACAAAGGAGGCGGGGCTAAGGGCAGGCTGGGGCGGGGCTAGAGCCTGGGGGCGGGCTCACGGCGAGCCGCGGACCAGGATGGAGGACTGGAGTCCCGAGGGCCTGGGAATGACCTCCGGGTCCGGCTGGATCGGGAGCTGTAACTCCTGTTAGTAGGGCCAGGAGCCTTCGCTGTGCAGCAGCCCAGGGCCCGGGCAGTAGCCCAATTAGTGCGGGGCCTGGCTGGAGCCCATGGTCCAGCGTCGACCCTGTCGCCGGGGCTTGGGCGGACGGTTCTGTTGACTCTGAGGGCAAGGAATCTGGTGGCTCCGAGCGTGACGTCACAATCGCCTACAGACGTGGGCGGGGCCGGGGGCTTTCCTAGGAGACGCGTGCACACTGGGCGTGCCTTGCTCCCTCCTTTTCCCTCCTTCCCTTCCTTGTTATTTCCCCCCCTTTCTTTCTCCCTCTCGCCTTCCCTCCCTACCTTCCTCATTCATCTGCTCCAGTGTCCAACCTGGAATCCCACCGCCTGTGCTGCCAGGGCGGGGGGAGCTCCTCGCCCGCAGGACTGGGAGGATTTTGTACAAATGAGCATCACCTGTGAGTTTTGAGAGGCTTCTGTACAAATGAACATCACCTGTGAGTTTTGAGTTAAGTCCCTGCGCCCTGATGTCTAGTGAGAAAGAAGACACACACATCCCTCTTTCTTTTAAGCCATTACCCTCCTCATTCATTATGAAGCCCCCCCTCCCAACCCCATGTCTAACCTCAGTCACTTTCGCTGCGGGAGCTCCCTCGTTCTGCCTGTGAAACGAGAGAGCAGATTGCCTTCCTCAGATTTGAGGAGAGTTACTAAATCCCACCCCTTGGCAAACACTTATGATTGTCAGGACTTAGAGCAGTGGTTCTCAACCCTGGCTGCACATTAGAATCACCTGGGAATCTTTTTAAAATCCTAATTTCTGGGCCTCATCCTCCGGAAATTCTGTTTGTTACTAATGTTGTGGCCCCACCCCATAACAAAGAAACAGAATTTCCAGAAGATGAGGCCCAGAAATCAGGATTTTAAAAAGATTCCCAGGTGATTCTAATGTGCAGCCAAGGTGAGAACTACTGGCTTAGACGAAGTTAGTGGAACCTGCATGAAGACCTTTTTTTAAAAAAAAAACATTGAATACAATAGTAATTAAATTTTTTTTATTTCAGAGGAAGGGAGAGGGAGAGATAGAAGAAACATGACGATGAGAGAGAATAATTGAATAGCTGCCTCCTGCACACCCCCTACTGGGGACTGAGTTCTCAACCCATACATGTGCTCTGAAGGGGAATGGCCTTTTGGTTCATAGGTTCAAGCTCACCCAATGAGCTGGGCTCATGTATTTTTTCAATCAACCAATATTTACTGAGTATTTTCTTTTTCTCTAAATCCTCAAGAATATGCTTATTGATTTTATTTTAGAGAAAGAGGGAGGGAGCAAGAGATAAATATTGATAGGAAAAACATTGATTTGTTGTTCCACTTATTTATGCATTCATTGGTTGACTCTTGTATGTGCCCTGACCAGGGATTGAACCCACAATTTTGGCATATCAGGACAATGCTCTCTAATCAACTGAGCTACCCAGCTAGGGCTTACTGAGTACTTTCTATGTCCCAGGACCTATAGAAGCAGAAACAGATGAAATACGGCTCTTGTTCTCAAGTTGCCATATATGCATGAGGTACCCTTGCAGGGTAAAGGGAAGTAAGACATGTGTGACCAATTCTACTTTGATAGCATTGTTCTTTCCAAAATGAGCAGGTATTTCTGGGTAGTGGGAGGCAGGAGAGAAGGAATGGAGAAGGGGATGGATGATGGGAGGAGCTGATAGTTGAGAAAGGAACCAGGGCCCTGGTCCTGGGGTGGGGACATGATAAGGACATCATCTTGAAGGCAGTAGAATGCTATTAAAGAAGAGGAACATGGCAGACCAGTTGGCACCTAGAAAACTCACTTTGGCTGCATTGTGAGGACTGGATGAGGGTAGTGAGACAGGAGGTGGGGAGGCCGGGCAGGAGGTTACTGCAGTTGTCTTGGTGAGAGATAATGAGGGTGTGAACCAAGACAGAGGTAGATGTGGGAACAGATAGGCATGGCAAGACTTGGTTATCAAGTTGGTATAGAAGTGAGGGAAAGGGTGACTCCTAGATTTCTAGCTGTGGTGTCTATTGCTCTCTGAAATGGAAGATACAAGAGGGGGTGGTTCATGGAGTTTAGGAAGAAGATGGTAGGTTCATGTGGGACATGTTGGTCTAAGATGTTTGGGAACATCCAAGAAGATATTGGCTACCTGCTCAGCAAAGCAGTCTGGATTGGAGATCCATCCAGAATTATGGATGCTGAAACCATCGAGCTGGATGACATTATCCAAGACAAGCACTCTGAGAAGTAGAGTAAAACAGAAACCTGGTGATCATCAACTGAAGGGGTACAGCAGAGGAGTTAGGAAAGAACTAATGAGCTTGTCAGAGAAAAAAGAGAGGAATGAGAGAGGTCTGCATGGAAGCTGAAGGAATAGAGCAGTGATGGCGAACCTATGACACGCGAACTCATTTTTTTGGTTGATTTTCCTTTGTCAAATGGCATTTAAATATATAAAATAAATATCAAAAATATAAGTCTTTGTTTTACTATGGTTGCAAAGATCAAAAAATTTCTATATGTGACACGGCACCAGAGTTAAGTTAGGGTTTTTCAAAATGCTGACACGCCGAGCTCAAAAGGTTCGCCATCACTGGAATAGAGCACGCAGAAGGAAGAGATTCATTGGTTAACAGGGTCAAGTGAGATAAGACGAAAAGAAGGCCACTGGGCTTGGCTATTGGGAAGTTGTTGACAGCCTTTGCCCGGGTAATGTGATAGAGAGGCCAGGTGGCTGCCATGTGTAGGTGGCTGGAACAGAGACAGAGGTGAAGATTCTGAGCTCGCTGAAGGTAGGGTCTGTGCCTCCTCTGGTGTCCAGTGAAGCTATCCAATATGTCTGTTAAATGAGTAAATAAACTTGGATTGGAAAGGAAGAGGAGTGGGATATGTAGTGCTAGAGGGAGAAACAGGGTTCAGAGAGTGCTTTGTTTAAAGTTGTTCAGAGCCTATAGGGGGGAAACAAACCATTAAATAAGGAGAAGATCAAACTTCTGGCTGGGACCTAGAGTTCAGGTGCTTTGGGCAGGAGGAAGAAGGGGAGCCTCCCCAGGTTGGGGGAGAGTTGATGAGGGTGGGAGCAGCCACAGATAAGGCTGGTGAAATGATCTGCTGGGAGGAACAGCAGCAGGAAAGGAGCTTCAGGGAAGTGCTGTGGAAAGCAGAAGGAGCTGACCAGGGAACTGTAAAAAGATGACCAAGTGCCACTGAAGGCTCAGTTGAAGTCCCCAACAAATCAGCTTCCTTTTCTAAAAAGATATTTTTTATTGATTTCAGAGAGGAAGGGAGAGGGAGAGTGAGAAAGAAACAGCAATGAAGAGAGAGAATCATTGATTGGCTGTCTCCTGCACGCCCCCACCCTGGGGGTCAAACCCACAGCCTGGACATATGCCCTGACCAGGAATAGAACTGTGACCTCCTGCCCTAACCGGTTTGGCTCAGTGGATAGAGCGTCGGCCTGCGGACTCAAGGGTCCCAGGTTCGATTCTGGTCAAGGGCATGTACCTTGGTTACGGGCACATCCCCAGTAGGGGGTGTGCAGGAGGCAGCTGATCGATGTTTCTCTCTCATCGATGTTTCTAACTCTCTATCCCTCTCCCTTCCTCTCTGTAAAAAATCAATAAAAATATATTAAAAAAAAAAAAAAAAAAAAAAAACAAAAAACTGTGACCTCCTGGTTCATAGGTTGATGCTCAACTACTGAGCCACACTGGCTGGACTCAGCTTCCTTTCTTAAGCAGAACTCAGCTCCTGATGCCCCAAAGGACAAACTAACTGTGGGAAGTAGGGAAGTGCAGGCTCTGCCCTGTGGTTGTTGATGCAGCTGCTGTCCCAGTTGGAATTCTACTGGTGGACAACTTCTGACCCAGCTCCACCCACCCTATGACAATTCCTGAAACTCCTTCCTTGTCTAGATTGGCTCACTCCTATTGTTTCTCCAGATTCAGTTCCTGTTAAGCTTCTTTCAAGAAGATTTTCCTAATCTCACCCTACACCAAGCATGTCAAACTCGAAGCCCGCGGGCCACATGAGTTTGACATGCTTGCCCTACACCTTCACTGTCTCAGTAGGTGCCCTTGTTCTCTGCTTCCACAGTCCTCCTTCCCACCATTTCCCTCACTGGCAGTGTCTGCGTCACACCACAGTCAGGAACTGTTCCATATACCGCCCCTGTGTTTCTCTTCTCAAACCCTCTCCCAGCCCCTTGAAAGCAGGGTCTCTTTTTGTAAATCTGCATCTTGGATGCAGCTGGTGCCGGACACCTGTGGCATCTCAGAAAATGTTTGATGAATGAATGGCATGGGGAGGGGATGCTGTCTGTGGCCACTCTGTTCTCTCTCAGATGTAAACAGGTTACCCAGTTGGGAACGAGGACATCTGCTGGCTGGTGTGGCGTCTAGCACTGATGCATCTATATTCTCCTCTGAAGGTGGGTCCCGGGGAATCTCTGGCTCCAAAAGCCCCACCACCCCTACCTTGGGAAAGCTGACCCCTGGTGGTCGGCAGAAGGGAGGGAAGTGTGTTCCTGAAGAGGTTACCCGGCAGCCCGACCCCCACCACACCCCCTACTCATGCCAGAGAGGGCCCCTTTCTGGAGACCACAATCACCCCTTTGTATAACACTTTATGGTGCACAAATACTTTGAACTGAGTCCTCACAACAACCCTGTATAATAGGTTACCACCATCCCTATTTTAAAAATTAATTTATTGATTTTAGAGAGGGAGGGAACTGTTCCACTTATATACTCATTGGCTGCTGATGGGATTGAACCTGAAACCTTGTGCAAATCTTGGTATATCAGGATGATGCTCTAACCAACTGAGCTACCTGGCCAGGGTGCCATCATCCCCATTTGTGGGCAGAAAAATGAAGACTTAGAAAAGCAAAGTGACTGGTCCTTAGTAACCGACCTTGTGACAGAGCCAACACTTGGACTCTGACTTCAAGGACACTGGCCACTGTGCTGCCCTTTGCCCCAGTCCAGCAGTGCTGAAGCAAGCTGAGGGTGTGGCCCTATTCCAAAGTCCTGCTCACGTCCTTATGAAGAAAGGACATGAGGAGAGGAAGCAGACAGGGAGGCCACCAAATGGGTCAAGCGTATATGGGGGACCTGGGACCCTCGCAGCCTGGTCAAGGGAAGGGAAGGAAGGAATGTGGGGCAAGGCTCAGACCACGCTGCCGTCTACTCATCTCTCAAGTATTTAAGGCCACTTGGACTAACACAGCCCCAGCCGGGGGTTTATGAAATCCCCCCAGTTCCACACCTTGTAGTGGCTGGATAAAGGTGCAATCCTCCTGGCCTGTTTGGTGGGAAGTTAGCCAGCCATGGCACCCCATGCCAGACTGCTATGGAAGTCACTGGTGTTCATCCACTTCTCCCTCCCAAGGTGGGTGGAGTCAGAGTCCAGGGGAGACCTGCAGGAAGGTGCTTTGTCCTCTCTGCCTTGATGTGTGAGGTCTTGGGCACGTGAAGGCATTTCATGGGCTTACCTTTTGGAGAGTGGACGGAGGGGAGACCCATTGGTAGACTGGAGTCCTAGGCAGGGTCGGAGATGAGGCAGTGCAGGTAGAGGCTGGGAGACTCCAGTGTGTGTCCAGGGCTTGCATTCCATTGAGTAAAAGAGGTGGGAATCTTTCTCCAGGACTTCCCCTTAATCCCAATTCTTACCCCAGCAGCATCTCCCCTGTTCCCTGGCAAAGTGGACATGGTATGTGTGCTGCCTACAAGGGACTCAGGTTGGGAGTGGGTTGTTCAAGTCTGTGGTTCCAAGGACTGGGGAGAGAGAATGGAGGGGGAGTGGGAATTTGATGGTTAAAGAGCAGGGAAAGAATCCAGGGTGAGCATGGGAAAGGGGAGATGTGAGAAGGGTGCCTGGAGAGAGAAGGAGCCTGGAGAGAGGAGGAAAAAGGCGGGCCCAGAGTCAGGAGAAGCAAAGGGGCATGGCATGTGGTAGGACAGGCCTTAGCTCCCGTCCAGGCATGAGCCACCATGCTGTGGCGGTCCTTGGGGCCGGAATGGCGTGAGAGGCTTCGAGGGGTAGGATGAAGGCCTCCTGGGCCTGTGCAGGGCAGGCATAGGAGCTGGGGATGCTGTGTTGCTGGCTCTAATCACTGGGGACTCTGAATTGGCACTCCTCAGTCTGCCATGGCAAGAGGGCTGTCCCCTAAGAGGCACCCTGTGGAGTGAGGTAGCTGACAGTGTGCAGCAGCTGCACGAGGTCAGCAGGAGCCAGTGTAGGGAGGGCTCCATGGAAGGCAGGGGAGGGGAAGAGGCAGGTGTCACAGGACGGCAAGAGGGCTTTGGTGAGGGCCTTGGTGAGACATTTTCCTGGGAGCGTGCAGGGGGCAGACAGATCCATGCAGTAGGTTGGGGAAAGCCCACTGGTGAGACCTGGAGTTAACTACTGGACTGAATGACTACTATGAAGTAGAAGCAGCTGCCTGTGGGTGGGTGTGTGTGTGGGGGGGGTGGGGGTGGTTGGGGGCAGGTGAATTTGGTGAAGCATATAGACTGAGCTGTGGAAGGAGAGATCCAAAGATGTGCTGCTACCATTACCTCTGTATGACCCAGACTCCGACCCCTTAGGCGAGTTCAAGGACACTGACAGGTGCTGCTGGAATCACAAGCAGTGCACTGGGCATATCATCCACCCCTTCACCTCTGACTGTGGTCACTACAACCTGCACCTGCACTCTCTCAGCCACTGTGACTGTGACTCTAGGTAAGGACCCTCCTCCTTGGGCGATCCACAGCCCATGAGACTCCTGGGAAGAGCCAGGTCCAAACTTTCACTGCGGTCCCCTCCTTTAGCTTTGACCAGGCACTGCCAGCCCAACCCCAGCTTTGTAAACCTGGCTCTGCTCCAAGAGCAGTGGGGAGGAGGTCTTTTGGCAGCCTGGGCTGAGCTGCAGTTACTACTCGGAAAGCCCACTGTCCTTCAGGCTCCTGGCTCTGGGCCCCTGGGGAGTCCTGGAGATGTGGGAGCCAGGCTGAGTTCCTTGTGGCAGGGTGAAGGACTGCTCAGAGAAGACAAATAGCAGCATCTCCCAAGATGTAGGCCCAACCTGTTCCCAAGATGTGGGCCCAACCTGTTTCGACATCGTCCAGACCCCTTGCTTTGAGCTCATCCCTGAGGAAGAGTATGTGGAGCGGTACTGGTATGGCTGGTGAGTGCGGGCAGGCTGATGGGGGCACTGTAGGGCATTGGCCCTCGCTTTTTGTCAACCTTCTCTTACCCTCCCTCCCTCCCAGGTGCAAAAACCTCAGGCCTGTCTCTGTGGCAGTGATCCACCATCCCCTCCACCACGAATTTAGAGATGACCTAAATGAAGAAGAGGAAGAGGAGGAAGAAAGCAAGCCTCCCATCCCGACTGAGGTGGGGCCCACCGCCACCACACCCAAGGACAAAGGCATAGGAATGGGCACGATCATGGGCACATCAGACTCGGCCGCTCCCATTACCATCTGGCGCTCTGAGAGTCCCACAGAGAAGTCCCTGGGCAGCAGGGTTATCAAGAAGGTCAAGAAGAAAAAGGAAAAAGAGAAAGATGAGGAGGATACAGATGAGAAGGCAAAGATGAAGAAAAACGTCAAGAAGGGCAAGTTGACTAAAAAGAAAAGCCCAGTTAAATCAGAACCTTCACCTCCAGACTTGAGCAGATCATTAAGCCCAAGGGAGCTGGTCAGGCTGTCAGAATCCAGCCCAGAGAGCCGGGAAGACCTGGAGAGTGAGGACAGTTACAATGACCCCAGGCAGGAGCCCTCCAGCGAGGATACTGTAGAGTCATCACCCAGAAAGAGAGATAAGAACACGGTCCAGGCCAAGAAACTTGGGGCAAAACCCGCTCCAATCAAGAAAATGAACAAGAGGAAATCCCCCCCAGTATCCAGCCCCAATCTCAGTTGAGGCCGGGCGACCAGGTGAAGAATAAATGCCATCCAGCCTGTCGCAAACCCCCTGCTGCTCTTCTCTCCCTCTAACTTGGCTGCTGCTGGGGGGCGGGGGTGGGCTCTGGGCATAGCTGGAGCGAAGGGGGTAGGGGCCTGTGGTGGTTTCTAAAGGGCAGTCCATCTGCCAAGAGGAAGTCCATGGGAAGGTAGGTGGGAGGGCAGGGAGGGGCACTGTAACAGCCTGTTTCTCTGTAACATCCTAGGCCCAGGGCAGAAGAGCACATCTGGGTGAGGAGGGAAGGAGGCTTCCCATCTACAGGGAGGCTGGTCTGTGTTAAGTCCACTCTGGGACAGGCGGGATTATCTGTAACGATACCCCTAATAAACTGAACCTTTTAACCTCTGCCACTGTGCCTGCCCTTCCCCTCTTTTAAGTGGCCCTGGAGAAGGTGCTGGTAGCACCAAAGGGAACATGATCTTACCAGTTCTGTGGACCTGCTCCTACAAGGCCCTTCTAGACCTTTTGTGCTAAAGGGAACTGAACTGAGTTCCCTACTAAAAGCCAACCCCTCACCTCCCCGCAACTCTTGCCAAAAGCCAGAGATCTTAAATGAAGAAAAAGCAAGGAAGGGCCTTGGCCAGTGTGGTTCAATTGGTTGAGTGTCATTCCATGCCCTGAGAGATCACCAGTTCAATTCCCCGTCAGGGCACATGCCAGGTTGCAGGCTCATCCCCAGTGGGGTAGTGCAGGAAGCGGCTGATTGATGTTTCTCCCTTTTTCCCTCTCCCTCTCTCATTAAAAAAAAAAGGCAAGGAAGGGAGCTCACCAAGTTTGGGGAGCAATGGCTTTTTTTTTTTTTTTACTTCTTTGCTGAGCCTCAAGCAGAGGAAAAGGAGTAGGAAAGCCTCACTTTCCCAGCCCCGACTCACAGAGCAATGAGACAAAACCTTTGGGAAGAAACAGGGAGATCAGCGTCCAGAATAAAAGAGGCTGTGGCGCTGGGGAAAGGACCAAGGCCTGGGAACTGGCCTGCAACAGCCCAGCTCCCTTTTCCAGGGCCAGTGTTTGTGTGTAGCAGGCAGCGTGGGCCCATCCTGGGTCAGACACACTTAACTGGTGTAGAAGTACTGCCAGACATTCAGGCCCAGCTGGCAAAAAGGGAAGAGATGTGCAGGGGCTCAGGGTGAGAAACCCAGATTTACCTGTGGCCTTTCTCAACTGTGCCCAAGAAGTCCACAGGTGCTCCTCGACTTACGATGGGTTTATGTCCAGATAAACCCACTGTAAGTTGGAAATATCGTTAGAGCGAAAATGCACTTAACACACCTGAACAACTTAGCCCAGTCTACTTTAAACGTGCTCAGAATACTTACATCAGCCTACAGTTGGGAAAAGCATCTAGCACAAGCATATCAAAGTCAAAGGCTAACACGGGCCACATAAACGAGGCATGCGGCCTGTGGGCCGCGAGTTTGACATGCTTAATCTAGCACAATGAACACACTGTTGTTTACCCTAGTGATTGCTTGCCTGCCTGGGGGCTGCAGCTCACTGCTGCCGCTGCCCAGCATCATGCAGCATCAGGAGAGTATCCTACTGCCTATCACTGGCCCGGGAAAAGAGCAAAACTCAAAATTTGAAGTACAGTTTCTACTGCAAGTGTAAAGCTTTTGCACGACTATAAAGTCAAGAAATCTTAAGTGGAATCATTATTAAGTTGGGGGCCATCTGTAGCAGGCTCAGTGGCTGGCAGTGGCTGTGTGTGAGTGGAAGTAATAGCAGCTAACATTTACTGAGGCCTTATGAGGTCCCAGGCATTGGGCCAAGCACTTCACACATTCTTTCTATCTGTCCTCACAGATGCTCTGATGAGGTAGGTATCACCATCTCCTTTACAGACAAGCAGGCTTAGAGATAACAGGAGTGTGCTCAAGGTCATAGGACTGGGAAGTGGAACAGGAATGTGATATCAGGCAATCTGGTGCAGAAGCCACATGCTTCTCAGAGTAACTTGCCTTTCTGATGGCCTGGAAGAGGGAGTCGGAAGCCCTCAGAGCTCCAAACACTGCTTTGAAAGCCACCCCTCAAGAACCAGAGAGGGAGAGAGAGGCTTTGTCAAGTGCTCTGTAGAAACACTGTTTATTCAAATGACAGGCAGGAAGCAGTGGTGGCAGCAGGTGGGTGAGGGTGGCCAGGAGGGGGCTGGGCAGGTTAGCACTGCAACCCTATGACCCCTGCAATCCCGCTTTGATAGCCACCAAGTTGTTGGCATGAAGGTCAGAAATACTTCCCGTCCTCTTCCTCCTGCCCCAAACTGAATAAATAGCATCTGTCTCCCCACAAGAGCTGGGGGAACTCATGTGCTGAGCTTGCTGCCCGGTCCCAGCCCAGAGTCAGGTAAGGGCAGAAGCTCAAAATGGCTTGTAGGGAAGTAGAATACAAAACTGTTCCACTCTCATCTTCCTCTTCTTCCTCCCTGCCACACTCCCTTCCCAGCCTGGTCCCAGGAGAGGTGGTCGGTGAGGGCCGGGAATGGGAGAATTGTCGCCTAGCGTACACTGAGCTCAAGTTCGAAAGGCCATCCAGCCTGTCACCCACCCAGGCTGACCATCAAAGAGAATGTCACTTCACGCCACTTTATGGACAGAAAAGGAGGGGCAGGGAAGGAGGCAGGCATCTCCCAGCCTCAGAGGTAACCAGAGTCCTGGGAGCAGGCCCCCTACCGATCCATCTCGTCCAAGAGCGGGGTGGCATCGCCAGCAATAGACATGGGGGTGCTTTCAATCATAGGGCTGGGGGACGGCCGAGGTGTCAGCCGCTGCTTCTGTTTCCGCCGCTCAGCCTCCTTCTCCTGAAGCCACTGCTCCGCCATCTTCCCCCAGTCGATGGCTGCATGGCTGTTGGACCTGGAAGAGGGAAGAGGGGCCTTTCAGATTGGAACACTAGAAGGCTCCACGATCACTGGTGAACATCCACCCTTGCAGAAATCGACTTCATACCTATGGTCAGTAGCTGTGGCCAACTGCCACACTGCCCTCTTCTGTTATCTCCCAGAATGCAGTCCTCATGGGAACATCACCTGGGTCATGGCTCTCAGAAGGTCCAGAGCACCTGCCTATGCTAAGCCCCTTAGCCTCTTGACAGCACCTGCCCTTACTAATAATCTGCTCCATGCCACCACCCATATACTTACTTTGGCTGTTGCTGCCGTTGCCGAGAGCTGGAGGAGGGCTGGGGCTGGGCCTGGGCAGACTGTGGGGTGGTGCTGGCCTGTAGCTGGTGGTACTGTGGTGTGGTGATGGGCTGGCTTGGGGTTGTGTAGGAGTAGCTGGGGGTCATTAGTGGTGTGGCCACTGGCTGCTGGGCTGGCGTTGGGAACACCTGGAGAAGAGTGAACAGTTAAATGGGGATGGGTTTGGGGCGTACTCAGAGTTCCCATGAATTTCTGCAAAGCTTTCCAGTTGACCCTCTCCTGAGCAGATAGGGAGGCCAATGGAATGGGACCAGGCACAATAGGGCCTCTGGTCCTGACTAGTTGAGGATTCTAGTGGCTTGAGGGTTCCAAAGATCCCAAGGGCTCTGCAGAAAGATCAGACCTTCTCTTATCCCCTTTCCCCTCAAACGGGCCTGAGGAAAAGGATCATCTGTTGTAGAGAAGGCCCATCTGTGCATAAAGGTGGGCACTGCCAGCAGCCAGTCTATGGACACAGGTTGGTAAAGGATGACTGTTCCCTTTCATTTTCCCCACCCTCCACAGAGAGCTTCCCCTCCAAGCCACGTACGTGGTAAGCGCTACTGCCCCCTCCACTGCCACCATAGCCATACTGGCTGGAGGCCCACTGGGCTGGGGTGGCATTAGGGTTCTGTCCTTGGCCTGTCACAGCAGCAATGGCACTGAACATCTGTGAGGTCATGTTCTGGGGCAAGGCATTCACAGCCCGTGTCAGATCTGTAAGCACAAAGAGGTGGAAGAGGGCACATTAGAGGTGAAAGTCCTAGCTTTATCCCTCTGAGTCACAGTCCTGGGCGGGAGCTCCTTACCTGCAAGGTTGAGGTTAGCTGGAGTAGCATTGATAGAAGCAGGTGTCCGGGTCCTGCTGCTGCTACTGGGAGTGATTCCTACAGGAAATAGGCAGAGTCAGTTATGTTTCTGGTTTCATAATTCAGGGAACTGAAGGAGGCGCTGAGAACAATGAAGCGACACAGGCAAAGTGGATGGAGGAACTTCCCGATGCTAGGGCAGTGATGGCGAACCTACGACACGCGGGTCAGAGGTGACACACGAACTCATGTTTTTGGTTGATTTTTCTTTGTTAAATGGCATTTAAATACATAAAATAAATATCAAAAACATAAGTCTTTGTTTTACTATGGTTGCAAATATCAAAAAATTTCTTTTTTTAAAAAATACATTTTATTGATTTTTTACAGAGAGGAAGGGAGAGGGATAGAGAGTTAGAAACATCGATCAGCCGCCTCTTGCACAACCCCTCCTGGGGGTATGCCCGCAACCAAGGTACATGCCCTTGACCAGAATCGACCTGGGACCCTTCAGTCTGCAGGCTGACGCTCTATCCACTGAGCCAAACTGGTTAGGGCATCAAAAAATTTCTATTATGTGACATGGCACCAGAGTTAAGTTAGGGTTTTTCAAAATGCTGACACGCCGAGCTCAAAAGGTTCGCCATCACTGTGCTAGGAGGTTGGAGCAGAAGGAAGAGAGCTGCAATGACAGCCTGTACCTCACCCCCTTCCACAGAAGGCTAGTTAGTGATACCGTGATTCAGAGCTGACGTATCCCCCCAGCCACAGCCTTGAAGTCAGAGAGCACAACTCACCTGGTACAGGATCCTGGTAATGATCTTTAAACCATCTGAAAAGTCCATTCACAGTTGGGAAGATTTGGCCCCGGTACCGGAATCCTTCTGGAGTCACCGTTACATACTCTATTCTGGGATTTTGGAAGGAAATACGCATCAGATACCACTTGGGGCCAGCCATGAGAACGTGGCCAGAACAGATCTCCACCATGTGAAGTAGTCACACTGGGTGCTAGGGGAAAGAAGAGATGAAAGAGCCGGTCTCTGACCCTGACTTTGGGGAGGGAAGGTGTGCGGAGCAGAGTACAGGCTGCC